ATAGATTCCTCCTAGTCCACTCATACATTCCTTCCACTCATTACTTTGCTGTCTATGCTCCAATCACACAGATATTCTTTCAGGTCTTTGAATTATCAAGTAGGCATTCTTCCAATGTACTTAAAATGCTGCTCTCCTTGCCTCAAGTGCTCGTTCCCCTTTCATTACTTGTCTTACTCATATTTACTTGTCTTACTCATATTTAGCTTTCAAATCTCAATTTTCTTCCCCAGGGAAGCCTTCCCTGATACTCCACGTTAGACTACTCTGTTTTCATAACACTCCTTTCCCTTCATTCCATTAATCACAACACATAATTCTACTTGTCAATTATGTAATGGTATACTTGGTAATCATTTCATTAATGTTGCTCTTCTCAGTAAATTCTAATTCTAAATTATTTTTTTTAAGATTTATTTATTTATGCATACAAGAGCTGGGGTTAGGCCAGAGGTGCAGGGCGGCGGGGTGGGTGTGTGAGAGGATTCACCAGAGACAGAGTAGGGAGAAAACAGATCTACTGAAATATACTGCTGAGGAGAACAGCGGGCAAGACAGGAGAGGTCTGCTGCACCATGTGGGTCACCTCCTTGGCTGGGAATGGAATTCATGACACAGTAGCTGGCAATAGCTTGGTAGTGCTAAGACTTTAACCCCTGCGGCATGAGGGCCCCAAAGGCCACCAGGGAGGCCCTAATTCTAAATTTTATGAGGACAGAGAGTCTTCATACACAAATGTCTGATCACCGGGGAGTCATTACAATAATACATTAGAAATAATAAGTGTGGGGCATCCCCTGTGGCGCAGCGGGTTGAGTACAGTGCTGTGAAGCTGTCTGCAGCCTCTGCAGCACGTTTTTGATTCCCAGCCGGTCAGGGAGATTCCCACATGGCACGGCAGTCCTCTCCTGTTGCGCCCGCGGCTCCGTCTGCCTGTTCTGCTCCCTGCTCTGACTCTGGTCAACTCTCTCACCCTCCCGCTCCTCTAGTCTATACTCCAGCTCTTGTATAAATAAATAAATCTTTAAAAAAAAAAAAAGAAAAAGAAAATAGTAAGTGTGGGATAAATAAACGGTTGACTGAATAAATGACTCAAATTTTAATCCTAGGTGAAATTAGTAAAGTTTAGAAGATAAATTGAGGGAGTGGCAAGACAATCTAATGACTAGTGCAACACATCTGGATACTCACATACAAAAAGATGAACTTGGATCTTTCCTTCATGATTTGTATGAGAAATAACTCAAGATTGATGATCCAAGAATGCTAAATGTACAAAAAGCTTTTTTTAAAATGTCTGAAAATCTTCAAAACTTTGGGTTAAAGATTTCTTAGATAAAACACCAAAGAGCAGGCCTCCCTGGTGGCGCAGCAGTTGAGCGCTGGGTTACGAAGCTGCCCGCAGCCTCTGCAGCACTGGTTCGATCCCGGGACACTGGCGAGGGTCCCACACGGCGCGCAGACCTCTCCTACCGCCCGCTGCTCCCCTCAACAGTGTATCTCATCAGTCTGCCTGTTCTGTTCCCCGCTCTGGTGAATGCTCTCACCCTCCCGCACTTCTGACTGTACCCAGTGCTTGTATAAATAAATAAATCTTTATTTAAAAAAAAATCAAAGAGCACAACCCATTAAAAAAAATTTTTGAATGGACCTCATCAAAATTAAAATCTTTTGCACCTTAGAAGACAGCATTAAGAAAACAAAAAGAGGGCCTCTCCGGTGGCGCAGCAGGTTAAGCGCAGTGTTGTGAAGCTGTCCGCAGCCTCTGCAGTGCGGGTTCGATTCCCGGCCAGCCAGGGCCACATGGCACCGCAGACCTCTCCTCAGCACCCGCTGCTCCCCTCAGCAGTGTTTTCAGTCCATCTGCCTGTTCTGCTCCCCACTCTGTCTCGGGTGAATCCTCTCACCCTCCCACACCTCTGGCCTGTACCCCAATTCTTGTATAAATAAATCTTTTTTAAAAAAAAAGAAAAAGAAATCAGACTAGGAGTACTTGCAAATCACGAATCTAATAGAGAATTTGTATCTGTAATATACAAAGAACTCTTACAACTTTGGTAAGACAACAAACACCCTATAAACATTGATGGATTTGAAGAACCGTTTAAAAAATATATCCAAGTGACATGAAAAGATGCTCACATCATCAGGAAAATACAAAACCACAATAAGATGCAATTACTCAGTCACTATAAAGCTACAATCAAAAAAACACAATAGATGTTGATGAACACACAAACTAAAATCTCCATACTTTGCCAGTGGAAATATGAAATGACACGATCAATTTAGAAAGCAGTTTGGCAATTCTTCGAAATCTTCCTCAGTTACTTAGTAACTTAGTTACTCGGAATTCTTTTTCTTTTTAAAGATTTATTTATGCATATAAGAACTGAGATGTAGGTCGGGGGTGGGGGGGAGAGGATTCACCAGAGACAGAGGAGGGAGAAGAACAGGTAGATCTACTGAAATACACTGCTAAGGGGAGCAGAGGGGGAGAGAGGAGAGGTCTTCTGCGCCAAGTGTGTTAGCTCCATGGCCAGGATTGATCTCATGCCACAGCGGCTGGCGATAGTTTGATAGCACTGAGCCACCAGGGAGGCCCCTGTTACTCAGAACTCTTGACCCAGCAATTCTACCCCTAGTTATCTATCCAAGAGAAATTAAAATACATATCCACCCCCCCCCCAAAATATGTACACAAATGTTCGTGGTAGCATCACACAGAACGTCAAAAGTGTTTGCAATCTGGGCCTCCCTGGTGGCACAAGGGGTAGTAAGTCTCAGGACTATCAAGCTATCACCAGCCACTAAAGCATGAGATTGATCCCTAGCCAGGGAGTTACCCACGTGGCACAGCAGACCTCTCCTGTATCACTTGCTGCTCCCCTCAGCAGTGTGTTTCAGTCCGTCTGCCTTTCTGTTCCCCACTCTGTCTCTAGTGAATTCTCTCACCCCCTGCAACTCTGGCCTACACCCCAGCTCTTGTATGTATAAAGAAATAAAAATTTTTGAAAAGTGTTTGAAATCAAAATATCCATCAAGTGATGAAATAAACATGTGGTATATAAACAACATGTGGTATAGTCAAACAAAGGAATACTATTCAGCAATTAAAAAAATAAGTACTGATACATGCTATAGTACAGATGAATCCTAAAAACTTGACGCTGAAAGGAAGAACATGAAAGACCCTGTAATGATTCTGAAATGAAATGACCAAAAAGAGCAAATTTATGGAGATTTGCCTGGGACAAGGATAGAAATGGGGGATTAACGTTATCTAGGCAGGAGAAATCTTAGAAAAATGATAAAAATTTTCAACTTAGTGACCATCAAGAATCATTGAATTGTACATTTAAAGTACATGCACCTTATAACATAAAAATAACTACAGATTTTTTTTCTAAAAAAAATTTTCAAGATTTTATCCACTGCTTCTATTTCTTCCATCATCCCACTTTTTTTAAAATTTTATTTATTTTTGCATAGAAGAACAGGGTGTAGACCAGAGTTGTGGGGGTTGGGGGGGGTGAGAGGACTCATAAAAGACAGAGTGGAGAGCAGAACAGGTGGATTTACTGAAATACATTGCTGAGGGGGGCAGCGGGCAAGACAGGAGAGTTCTTCTGCGCCATATGTGGATTAGCTCCCTGGCAGGGGATGGAACCTGGGCAGTTTTGGTGACATCCCTGAGACAGAGCCCTTAGGCCACCAGGGAGCCCCACTTTTTTTTAATCTCCTAAAGTCTGTTTATCACATATTCAAATGTTAAAACTATTCTCTCAACCCACTAATGTTGAAGCAATTCTCTTACTCCTATTTTCAAAGCCAAGGTTCTTTTCTATGTTCCCCTTCTCTTTTTAAAAAAAAAAAAAAAAGATTTATCTATTTATGTACGTAAGAGCTGGGGCTCAGGCCAGAGATGCGGGAGATGAGAGGAACCACCAGAGACAGAGAGGGGAACAAAACAGGCAGACCAACTGAAATACACTGCTGAGGGGAGCAGCGGGAGAGACAGGAGAGGTCTGCCTCGCCACGTGGGTTTCTCTTTGGCCGGCTGGGCATCGAACTCATGCTGCAGAGGCTACGGATAGCCTCATAGTGAGGTGCTCGACCCCCTATGCCACCAGGGAGGCCCTCTATGTTCCAATTCTTTTTAATTTCTCTACTAGAGGCCCTCTCAAATTCCCATCCTTGAAACTCATGTAATAACATGTGACTTTATACTATTCCTGTCCTCCTTCCATTTCTCTGCTTCAGTTTTCTTTACCAAATCTTTTAGCCTCTTACTCCCACTTATATTTCATCAAAATAAAGGAAAATCTATGCTCCCAAAGTAAAAGAGAATTTTTACTTGTCTTTTCTTCTTAATTACAAAATCTATTTATTAACCCCAAACAGATTCAAGTTACTGATAGTTTCTTCAGCTCCATTCATTAATCTCATGTCATGGTTCAAGTCTTTGCTGTTCTTCCCCAATTAGAAAGTAAATTCCGAGAACATTAACTTGGCTTTTCTCAATTCTGTAACCACTGAAAGAATTCAATGCAGAACTAAATATACAATGAATGAAATTCAATTATGTGTTTCTGACTCATCAAAAATGACTGGGATCATCCTAAGCAGTTCCCTGGGAAGATATTTTGATCTAGCTTGGAAACTGCATTTTAAACAAAATTAGAAAATGAAGAACATTATGTGATCCTCCCATATATACATTTAAAGTTATAATAAAGTTTCTTGGCAGTTAACTTACCCCAGATGACTAATGATATTCAAGTTTAAAAAGATAAAGTTCTATAACACAAATTTAAATTCATCCAGATTTCTAAAATTTGATGTCACAAAAGTACAAATCTATAAATCAGGTAACACTTACAAACATCTGGCTCTAGACTATTTGCTTACAGGTTTTTTTTTTTTTTTAAGTAATATTGGTTTAAAACAGACTATTATCTTCAAACTTTAATATCCTCAAAAAATTAATTATAACTTACCAAATCCCAAAGTCCAACTTGCCCAAATTTAGCTCCAGCAGCCACTAAAGTTCTATTTTCTGATGGATGGAGAGCCAAAGAGAATATTGGGCCTTTGAAAACTTTACAAACAGTATCTTCATTTATGACCATGTCATTTAAGTTGGCTTTGTAGCTGAGAAAAATTAAAAGTTAAATTTTATCAGGAAAACTAATCTCAACAGTCAAAATAAGTACAAGATGATTCATAAAAAAAATCACAACCTGGTATTTTGGTAAAATATTCATCTTCCTCATAAGAAAATCAAATTAAACACTGGAATACTATTTTTCACTTATGAAGGCTCGCAGGCAATAGTTAAACATATACATTTCTGTATACTGTTACGCAAAGTAAGTTTATAAGATTTTCAGAAGGGAAAAAAAGATTTTGACAATAACGTGGCAATGTATACTAAAAGTCATGTAACTGTCCATAATATTTGATTCATTATTTTCCAGAAATCTGTATTAAGAAAAAAATTCACTATCACAAATATATACCTCAACAAACATACAAAACTTAAACTTAATACTCCAAAAATACTCCAAATTTAGGCAGCAAGAGGATGGTTAAGTAAATTCCATCTACTCAATAGAATATTATATAATTATTCAATAAAATATAAAGACTCTTGAAACATGCAACCATAATATTAATGAGGAAAGCATAATGCAAATTGTATATAATAAATTTAAAATGTATGAGAATTCATACATTTATTAAAATTGAATGACTATATATCATGTGTCAGGCACTGTTCTGATTGTTGACATAAAATATCTGCATTCATGATGCTTATAACTAGTGGCACAGCATATAGCAACAAATGCTGAAAAGAAATACACAAAAACAAGGGAACTTGTTAGGGTGAAACTGGCCCACATAGTGCAGCAGACGTTGCCTGTCTCACCTGCTGCTAACCTTAGCAGTGCATTTCAGTAGATCCACCTGTTTGGCTCCCCACTCTGTCTCTGGTGAATCCTCTCACCCCCCACACCTCTGGTCTAACCCCAGTTCTTGTATGCATAAAAAATCTTTATAAAATAAAAACGGGGGCCTCCCTGGTGGTGCAAGAAGATGCAACACTATGACGCTATCTGCAGCCACTGCAGCACAAGTTCGATCCCCAACCAGGGAGGGACCCACATGGCACAGCAGACCTCTCCTGACTTGCCTGCTGCTCCCCTCAGCAGTATACTTCAGTCTGCCTATTCTGTTCCCCACTCTGTCTCTGGTGAATCCTCTCACCCGCACACCTCTGGCCTGTACTCTAGTTCTTCTTTGCATAAATAAATAAATCTTTAAAAAAATAAAAACAAAAGGCAAGGAATTTTAACTCACCTTTTAATGTTGGATAACTTCTTTTCGATATTCTTACTACTTGTCTGAAACGATGGGCAGGATCAAAGTACTAAGTTAATACTATATATTAGTTATATAACAGATGATTCTAAAAACTGTAAGCCATCCCAAGTAATACCTTATTCATTTTTGCCCATATTTGTAGAAAGCCTTTAAAAAGTTCACTGTTATCATCTCGATTTTCAGGAGTCATTTCTAAAGGCCCAGAAGGTAACAAAGGCTGTTATTAAAAAAAAAAAAAAAAAAAGTTGGTGATTGTCACCCTGCCCTGAATATAAAAGTTGAGATTTTTCACTACTTTACTTTTAATACCAACAACAGGGTTGACACATTCTTAGCATTCCAAAAATAGATGTTCAATGGCTGAATGACTACAATGTACACTGTATAGTAATAACATGGATTGTCTCATTTAATCCTCTCAACAATCCAATAAATCAGAGAACACATTTTAAAGATACTAAACTTACAGACTTAACTTGTCCAAAGACACACTTAACAATACTGCAGTTACAAAGAATTGATTCAGGTAACATCAATTTCATTAATGAAAATCCATGACTTAGGGAGAAATCAAAACATCTCTTGGGCATCAGCATCAGAGATCAGCACAAACTCCACCAGAGGGACAAGGAGGAGATTCATGCTTCATTAAAGAGATGGGTGGAGAGAAACACCTGGAACTGCATCCTGGGGCAAGGGAGCTGCCATAGAATTACTGGGGAGGTGAGAGGTCAACAGTATGGAGGAACACAAGCCTGACTGAGGGGAAATACTTGTGGAGGTACTAGGGTACTCCCAGCAGGTCAGGTTCCCAGTGAAAAGAAAAAGGAAAGTGATTAGTACTATACTCCTAGGGTTCCTCTGACACACCTACACTATGCCTTATGACTCGCACTGACCTTGTGAAATGCACTGACTTCAGACTCTCAGATCTAGAACCCCAGGAAAGAGCAATATCCGTGGAGCCATAAGCAGGAGTCAGACCCCCACCAGCACATTCACACTAGCAATTGTCCCTCTCCATGCCCCTCTCTCACCCCCTGACTCAGCAGTTGAAAGATCAGGTCTCCAGAATTCTAAAAATCACATAAAAACACAGTACCATATATGAAAAAAAGGGAACCCATTGGACCATGGTGGAGGAATATGGATGCTTTAGAGCTGGGTGTGGTAATATATATAAAGAGGTGAACCCGTATTTCTGAATCATATGGCATTATAAACCGATGTTACCTCAACAACAAAAAATACCCTCCAAAAAAGGGTATCTCAGCTAGTAAGAAGAAAAAATATCAAAGTACATTAGATATAGTAAGGGTATCTACAAAATTGTGATGACCAACAGATATATGGTTGTGATGATCATTCAGATGACCAAAATGTCAGAGTTGATCTTTAGTGCTATCTTTCAATTTATAGTAAAGCACTTATATATAAAGTATTAAAAACAGTAGGTGCTCTTTGAATAAAAAATATTAAAGAATAAACTTGGTAAATAAAACTCTTTCTACTCACTAATATTATAACATTAAACTATATCAAGGGATCCCATCACATTATTATCAATAACAATAATTACTACCATTTATGGATTATTTATTAGGTTTTTAAAACAATGAAAGGAAGTTTATAAATATGGCTTCATTTAATCCTCCCAATACCCCTTTGAGCTTTCTATTGTTTTCATTCAAAAAACAAGGAAGTGAGTTCAGAAAGGGTAAGTGAGTTCAGTAAGGGTAAGTAATTTAATCACAATCCCACAGTAGATAAGTCTGTAGATACACAGAATCCAATTCAGTCCCTATGACTTTAAAATCTTATTCATTTAATGAGTATTAAGATGACAAACATAATTTAATGACCTTTTAGTGTAGTCTCAAACACATCAAATATTTCAGTATTTCACTGAGTTGACATATTTGTACTTTTTCTTACATTTTCATCTGCTACTATTGTTGGCTGAGTTGGAGTCTCTGGTAATGGAACTCCTGAAGGCTCTACTTTCAGTAATCGCATTGACCTTCTACATCCAATCCCATTTTCCCTCTTCTTAGGCTTCTTTCTAAAGGAGAGAGGAAAAATTCACATGTAACTCATAGTTACATGTACTTGCTAATATTAAGAAGATGTCTAAAGATATAATATCCACTGCATATATGTACACACTGCAAAGATGTATATATGTGGCTACAATGTGAAAGTCTGCAACATCACAGATGTTCCCATGGGGATGAAAGAAGTATTAAATCATGACAAACTGATGTGAGAAGTATTAAATTATGACATACAAATCTTTTTTAAAGATTTATTTTATTTATGCATATAAGAACTGAGGTGTCGACCAGAGGTGTTGGGGAGAGGGGTGAGAGGATTCACCAGAGAGAATGGGGAGCAGAACAGGCAGATCCACTGAAAATACACTGCTGAGGGGAGCAGCGGGAGAGACAGGAGAGGTCTGCTGCGCTGTGTTGATCTCTGGCCGGGGATTGAACTCATGCTGCAGTGGCTGGCAACAGCTTGATAATGCTGTGTCTTTAACCCTTGCCCCACCAGGGAGGCCCATACTGATCATAAAAAAGAATGAGGGGCCTCCCTGGTGGCACAGGCAGATGAGCGCAGCGCTGTGAAGCTGCCCACAGCCTCTGCAGTGTCAGTTTGATTCCAGCAGGCCATGGAGATAGCCACATGGCGAGCAGACTGCTCCTGTCTCGCCCGGTGCTCCCCTCGGCAGTGTATTTCAGTCAGTCTGCCTGTTCTGTTCCCCACTCTGTCCCTGGTGAATCCTCTCACCCTCCTGCACATCTGGCCTGTACCCCAGTTCTTGTATAAACAAATAAGTCCCACATGGCATGCAGACCTCTCCTGCCGCGCCCGCTGCTCCCCTCAGCAGTGTACTTCATCAGTCTGTCTGTTCTGTTCCCTGCTCTGGTGAATTCTCTCACCCTCCCATGCTTCTGACTGTACCTAGTGCTTGTATAGGTAAATAAATAAATCTTAAATAAAATAAAATAAAGTTTAAAAATAAAAAAGAATGAAACAGATCTTTATGTGCTGACATGACATGAACTCTAAGATATAAAAAGCAAAAAACAAGAAGTCAATCTGAAAAAGCTACATACTATAAATTCCCAAATACATGACATTCTGGAAACGGGTCAAGCAGTAGTATTCCCTCAGCTTCTTATAAACCAGCAATTAACGAGTGGAATTTGAAATTAAAAACACAAAACCATTTACAGTAGCAACCCAAATAAATGTAATACCTAGATATAAGTCTAACAAAATATTTATAAGATTAATATGAGGAAAATTACAAAACTCTGATGAACAAAGAACTATGTAAATGCAGAGAAATTTCATGTTCATAGATAGAAGACTCAATAATGTCATGATGTCAGTTCTCCCCAACTTAATCTATAAACTCAATGTAATCTCCACATAATCCCAGGAAGTTATTTTGTGGATAGTGAAAAACTGATCCTACAGTTTATACAGTGAGGTAAAAAACACAGAAAATCAACGCAGTATTTTTTTTTAAAGATTTATTTATTTATTATTTATACAAGCACTGGGTACAGTCAGAAGCACGGGAGGGTGAAAGAATTCACCAGAGCCAGAGCGGGGAGCAGAGCAGGCAGAAGGACCGAAGTACACTGCTGAGGGGAGCAGTGGGCGGCAGGAGAGGTCTGCACGCCATGTGGGACCCTCCTCCTCTGGTCAGGGAGCAGCCGGGGATCGAACCGGCGCTGCAGAAGCTGCGGGCAGCTTCGCAATCCAGCATTCAACCGCTGCGCCACCGAGGAGGCCCATCAACGCAGTATTGAAGGTCAAAATTAGAAGACTAACTACCTTCTGTCAAGACTTACAAAGCGGGGCCTCTCTGGTGGTGCAGAGATTAAATATTAGTGCTATCAAGCTATCGCCAGCCACTGCAGCATGAGTTCAATCCCTGGCCAGGGAGATAGCCACTTGGCGCAGCAGACCTCTCCTGACTCGCCCACTGCTCCCCTCAGCAGTGTATTTCAGTCAATCTGCCTGTTCTGTTCCCCACTCTGTCTCTGGTGAATCCTCTCACCCCCCCCCACACCTCGGTCCTGTACCCCAGTTCTTATATGCATAAATAAATCTTTTTTTAAAAAAAGTTCATCAAATTACAAAAACCATATTCTTCCCTCCATATTATTTAACTTCACCCTACCAACTTGATATTAATAACCATACTTCCACTAAATACTGGAACTTTGTTATTTAGGTGATTTAGGCACAAATCATTAATCCATGCTATTCAAAATATGCAAAGCCTTCCTGGTAGCCTAAGGGTTAAGTTTCAGTGTTGAGTTTGATCCCCAACCAGGGAGCTGACCCACATATGGTGCAACAGAGCTCTCCTGTCTCACTGGCTGATCCCCTCAGCAGTGTGTTTCAGTAGATCCAGCTGTTGCGCTCCCAACTCTGTCTCTATCACCCCTCATTCCCCACACCTCTGGCCTATATCCCAGTTCTTCTACAAAATAAATATTTTTAAAAATAAAAATATGTAAAGATAGGGCCTCCCCGGTGGCGTAGCGGTTGAGCGCTGGGTTGCGAAGCTGCCTGCAGCCTCTACAGCACCGGTTCGATCCCCGGCTGCTCCCTGGCCACCAGAGGAGGGTCCCACATGGCGTGCAGACCTCTCCTGCCGCCCGCTGCTCCCCTCAGCAGTGTACTTCGGTCCTTCTGCCTGCTCTGCTCCCCGCTCTGGCTCTGGTGAATTCTCTCGCCCTCCCATGCTTCTGACCGTACCCAGTGCTTGTATAAATAAATAAAATAAATAAATCTAAAAAAATAAATGAAAAATAAAAATATGTAAATATAAAGTTACTGATCAAATGGCAACAGAACTTCTGCCAACTGTCTGCCAACACTAATGATGTTCCTCCTAAAACAACTTTTCACATTCACAAATACATGGTGATAATTAAAAGTTTAGTTTTTCTCAAGGTAACTGACCTGTAATTGAATCAAACCAATTAAATGAAGCTCTATTTCATTAACATCTAATACTAAACAAATTACCTAAAGATACCACAATTTTTAGCTTCTTCATTTATATATAAACACCACTAAAATGCAGTGGAGAAAACTTAAAATAATCCTGGAGTTCAAATCCTGAAGCTTCCACTTATGAGCTATTTTGACCTTGGGCAAATTATTTTATCTCTGAGCCTGTTTTGTATTTCACAAAATGAATATATTACTGCCTACATTTGGTTGTCATCAGAATTAAATAATAAATAATTTCCAGGTCATAGTAATATGATAGCTATTCAGTAAGTCTAGAAAAGGGGGGAAAAAACAACTGAGCGAAAACCAAAAACATTAAAAGTACACTACTTAGTAACAGTTTTCTAGTCAAAACCAAGAATAATTCAATGGAAGTAAATATTTCCTTCTATTAGCAGCAACTGTAAATATAAACAAAATTCAGTTCTGGAGATTCTATTGCCTTTTTATTCCTTTGATGAAGATGAAAACTTTTTTTTTTTTTAATAGAGGCATGTTTTTTTTATTTGTTTGTTTGTTTGTTTTGTTTATACATGCACTGGGTACAGTCAGAAGCGCGGAGGGTGAGAGAATTCACCAGAGCCAGAGCGGGGAGCAGAACAGGCAGAAGGACCGAAGTACACTGCTGAGGGGAGCAGCAGGCGGCAGGAGAGGTCTGCGCGCCATGTGGGACCCTCCTCCGGTGGCCGGGGGGCAACCGGGGATCGAACCGGCGCCACAGAGGCCGCGGGCAGCTTCGCAACCCAGCGCTCAACCGCTGCACCACGGGGGAGGCCCGAAGATGAAAACTTTAAAGTTAAAGGTAGAACTTCAGCAGTGTATTTCGTCACTCTGCCTGTTCTGTTCCCCGGTCTGGCTCTGGTGAATTCTCTCACCCTCCCGCGCTTCTGACTGTACCGGTGCTTGTATAAATAAATAAAATCTTTAAAAAAAATAAATAAAAATAAAACAAATCAATGACATATCATGGTGCAGTCATTGTAAATCAATCCTTTTTTTTTTACCTTTTGGATTCAGGAGGCTGTCTCTTCTTTATCATTTCACGCAGCCTTGCAGCTGACTGCAAAGTATGCAAAACATATAAACACATAAAAATAATATAACTATATAGCTTTCCTTGTAAAACCAAGAGTTAGTATCTTAGGAGTAGGGAAGACACATCACACTACTAAACAGCTACTGTCTCACACATGAAAGTTATTCCCCCATATGAAGACACCAATGTAAAGTACCTTTAGTCATAATTATTATAAAACATTAACATACATCCGGCCATTTATCCTTAAAGTTCCTATACAAAGTATTCCAACCTATTCAGCTTAAGATTCAAAAAAGGAAAAAAAAGCAGTCTTCTCACTTTACCAAATATCCTTCAACCCAAACTCCCAGTTTTTTAACCTTTACTTAAAGCTTGGCAGAAATCCCTGGTTCTTTGACTCTAAGACAACCACTCATAAGGCAGCATTATTTTACAAACCACCCAAAAAAGAAAAATGTTGAATTAGTTTTATGATGCCAATTTTTTATACACAATTAAAAAGGCTTGAAATCAATAAAATATAGCAATCTCTATTAAGTACAAAACTTGTTCCTAATTTTGCCCACAATCATCTGATACTATGAAACCTGATGAGTCTTTTATTGATGTACTTGACAAGAGTAATGGCATATCAATTTTGTTTTGTTTTTTTTTTTAAGATTTATTTTTTCATTTATGCCTAGAAGAACTGAGGTGTAGGACACAGGTGGAGGAGGTGAGAGGAGTCACCGGCAACAGAGTAGGGAGCAGAACACTACCGAGGGGAGCAGTTGGCAAGACAGGAGAGGTCTCTGTGCCACATGTGGGTTAGCTCCCCCCCCTGGATGGAACTTAACCCCTACGCCACCAAGGAAGCCCCGCATACAGGTTTTAATTTAAAACACCATACACACCTCAGATAACTGAAGAGAAGCAAAAAAATTTGCATTTTCTGATATGTTCTTCAGTCTCTTCCTTTCATATGGTGACAATCCTGAAAACTCATCCTACGAAATTACAAGAAAAAGATTGTTACTTTATATTATCCATGACGAAAGTTCCTCAAAAATATAGTTTAGTTCTCTGCATGTACTTTCCTTCAAATTGCACCTTCTCTATTCAGTCCATGCTACTGTTTCAAACAGCACATAATCTTTGCAGAATTCGATACTGAATAAAAATGTGAATGTAGGATAATCAATCACAAGTCAATAGTAAAATCATTTGCTATTGTAATAAAAAATGATTTATGACTGTTCATTAATTGTACCATTACGCAAGTGACTTTTTAATAAAGATTTATTATTTATGCATACAAGAAGTGACATACACTGCTGAGGGGAGCAGTGGGCAAGACAGGTGAGTGAGGTCTGCTGTGCCATTTGGGTCAGCTCCCTGGCCAGGATTGAACTTGTGCTGCAGTGGCTGGGACAGCTTCATAGTGCTGAGACTTAACCCCTTGAGCCACCAGGGTGGCCCTATGCAAGTTTGTGTTTTTTTTTTTTAAACAAGAAAAAAGAAATTTTTTAATTCAATGAAAGTTAAGGAAATTTAGAAAGCACAAAAAGAAACAGCAGGAAACACAACAAAACTAGAGAATCAATCTTGAAGTTCTAACATGCAGCTAGTGAGAGGGGAGGAGGCGAACAGAGAAAATTATTAGAAAAATAATAGAAAATATTTCTCAAAACAATGAGTTTCCAGATTAAAAGGGCCCAATGAAGATATGGCAATGAATAAGTAACCCCAATTCTAAGAAGACCATCACAAAATTTAACATCTGAGATAAAATGAGTTCAGTGAATATCATAAAAGCCTGTAGAGGGAAAAAAATCACAAAGAATCAAGAATGAGAATGATACCAATTTCTTGATAGTGAAGGAAGATAGAAGACAACAGAACAATGTCTAAAAATTTGAAGGAAAAATAATTTTCAACTTACAATTCTAAATTCAACCAAGTAATCAATCAAATGTAAAGTATAAAGACTTTTCCAGACATGCAATCTACTCCTCATACTCCTTTTATCAGGAAGCTAAGATAAGCTGCATTTCACCAAAATGAAAGAATAAACTAAAAAAGAGAACAGACAGGCCCAGGGCACAGAAGTTCTAACAAAGATATAAAAGAAATGCAAAGGAAAATGCTAAAAGTAAAAAATACCAGAATAAAATAGGAAGATGGAGTATTTCAGGAAGAGTATATTAAGCATTTCATGAAAATATATAAATATATACTTTTTTATATACTTTGCACCCTCTGTGCCACCAGCCACTGTCAATTCCTGTAATATCTTGGTGGATGTAACATCTTGTTACATCCTGTAACATCTTCCCTCATCCTGTAACATCTTCCCTATAGGGAATCTTACTTCTCTTGGTCTCTCACCAGCCCGTGAAAAGCAAGGAAACCTGGGGCAACTGAATGCCTCTGGTTGGAGCACTCCCCAATGTGGCAGAAAGGTCCCCAATAATCTCAAACTTTGCCATGACCTTACAGGATGGAGAACACAACCTGGTCTTCCTTTGAAACTTCCAACGGATTATTTTGATTTCCTAGACAACAACTGATAGGGTCTGACCCAGTTATTTCTGAGTGACCCTAGATGGCAGAACCTTTTCAGAGGGTGCAAATATGGGGATTCCGGGGCACCCCTCAGTCTGCACCCCTCAGTCTAATTTATGGATGTTTAAGCTTCTCTGGAATCAGAATGGTAAAAATCTTTTAATTAAAAAAGAAAATATTGGACATGGTACAGGAATTCTTAGGTAATATGCCCCTGTGCTCCACTAACCTAGGAAACTCTTCTCCCTTGTGGGAAAGAGAAGCAATAATCTGTAGGTTCTTTAAAACCTCAGGAAAGCAATGTCATATAAGGGACAGTATTTAATGTTCTTAACATATCTGACAACAGAAATGTTCAAAAATATAAACTTCGTAAAAGGTCTGATATATTCTGGTATATGCATGTCTATTCTTAAATACTGTATACCACAAAAATTGAAAAACTTAGTTAACTGTATTATACCTAGATCTTTAATTATGGGCACTTTAAAGACTTTTGTCATTTATAAAAATTACTTATTCTAGTATTTCGTTTTCAAAACAGTTCATAGTAGAGGCTCCCTGGTAGCATAGAGGTTAAGTCTCTGTGGACTTAATCAGGGAGTTAACCCACATATGGCACAGCAGACCTCTCCAGTCTAGCTGGATGCTCCCCTTAGCAGTGTGTTTCAGTAGGTCCACCTGTTCTGCTCACCACTCTGTCTGGTGAATCCTCTCACCCTACCCCACCCCCCATACCTCTGGCCTAACACCAGTTCTTCTAAGAATAAATCAATCGTAAAAAAAAATTCATTAAAAAAACTTACTTTAAAATTCGGGTCTATCATGGAGTTAAAAGTGCAAGTTATATAAAGAACTGGGCTCATTAAAATTATTAGCAAAAAGCTAAAATCAAAATGGATCAAAATTTAAAAATGGGTCTAAATAAACTATAAAAATTAAAACAGGGGCCTCTCTGGTGGTGCAAGGAGTCAAGATACAACCTGTGAAGAAGCTTTGGACTCGCCCGCAGCTCCCCTCAGCAGTGTATTTCAGTCATTCTGCCCATTCTGTTCCCCGCTCTGTTTCTGGTCAATCCTCTCATCCCCCCCTGCACCGCTGGCCTGTACCCCAGTTCTTGTATGCATAAAGACAACTTCCTTTTTTTAAGCTGACTACAACATGCAACAACAGTAAATTACATTTTTTTTGTAAACAGAAAAAGAACTGAGGATTTGCATTTCTCTCCCTGACATCTTAAAAAGTTCATTAAATATTCTGACTTCTCATAGTAATGTGTTTGTTTGCACATATCCAATAAAACTCGTTTTTCCTCTCCACAATAGACAACTGAAAATATATTTTACCAAGGCATTGTCTGGAATGTTATGTTTTCAGGAACCAGATTGAGCTCAGTGCCAACAAGGAAACAGTCTGGCACCTCGTTAGGGTACAGCTGGTCTATCTGAAGGATAAAAAAGATGACCCTTTTGGCAGGCCCAGAGATCCCAGGATAACTTTTGGGACTCATAAGAAGAGGAATTTGCCCAAAGGTACTGTTATTAAAGGTGAAATCTAATGGTAAGTCTGATGTGTGGTCTTTAGCCCTAAAATGCTGACCATTTAAGCACACCCAATCTGAAGTTCCTCATAGACTTTCAGCAAAGCAAAATTTAAAGGTCGGTACGGTTGGACCTCCCCGGTGGCGCAGTGGTTGAGCGCTGGGTTGCGAAGCTGCCCGCGGCCTCTGCAGCGCCGGTTTGATCCCCGGCTGCTCCCCGGCCACCAGAGGAGGGTCCCACATGGCGCGCAGACCTCTCCTGCCGCCCTGCTCCCCTCAGCAGTGTACTTCGGTCCTTCTGCCTGCTCTGCTCCCCGCTCTGGCTCTGGTGAATTCTCTCACCCTCCCGCGCTTCTGACTGTACCCAGTGCATGTATAAACAAAACAAACAAACAAACAAATAAATAAATAAAACATGCCTCTATTAAAAAATTTTTTTTTAAATAAATAAATAAAGGTCTATATGGTTATTTCTGTTCTTGCTGCATTTATGCAAACTAGCCAAGTTTATTTAAGCTGGACTTAACTTGTGAATAAATTTTGTTGTGATTATTTAATAAAACGGGTGAAGGTAAAGAGAAAACTGTATTTCATTATTTGTGGACATCAAGTTTTAATGCCTCTTAAATATTTTTGAGGTTTTTATTTTTTTGAACCTGTAAACTAGACTGGATATTCTCTTAACAAAAAATTAGCTATGTATAATAATCAAATAACTCAATTTATACATTGCAAAAAAAAAGTGAAGATTTGTCCAGATTGGTCATTGCTCCCAAATTCCTCAAGATTAAAAAAAAAAAAAAAAATACTACTACATTTAAAGTTGGGGGGGGGAATGTAATAATGTAATGGAGACTAAATTATTAAATTGCTCTTAGACCTTAAGGAGCACACACACACACACACACACACACACACACACACACACACAGTGACCTAAATTTTTCTGAGGCTTGTATTTATAATGACAGTTTTGAGCTGATAGCCAGAATTGGCTGGAAACTAAACACACAGGGAGACAAAATGTGGCTTCCCAAAGGTGGAGTACATGAAAAAAAAAATTGAATCCTAGTTCAAGGCTCCTATTGTAAACAAAGCCATTTCTACTTGGTTTGGATAAATCAATGGACTCATTCAGGCCTATGGCCACTGCTAGCAGACTAGGCTTACTTCCTTTGATCTTTGGCATTTGCTTCTTAATGCAGCTCCCTTTGTCTCCAAAAGGTTAAAATTAAAAGGATATCAAATTCATGAAATGGGTTACAAAATGACCATCTTAGGTTTCGTATTTGGACTGTACATTTTAAAGATTTATTTATTTATGCATACAAGAGCTGGGGGTATAGGCCAGAGGGGCAGGAGGGTGAGGGGATTCACCAGAGACAGAGTGGGGAGCAAAACAGGCAGACTGACTGAAATACACTGCTGAGGGGAGCAGCAGGCGAGACAAGAGAGGACTGCTGCACCATATGGGTTAGCTCTCTGGCGGGGTAATTGAACTCAAGCTGCAGTGGCTGCCAATAGCTTGTTAGTGCTGAGACTTAACCCCTTGCGGCACCAGGGAGGCCCTGGACTGTACATTTTAATTTTTTCCAGGATGTGTAGCATACACAATTGTCCAGCAATACCTTCAAACAGTCTGATTTGACTGCATAGTACTTCATTCAAAATCCTAGAAAAAGCCTAGGGCCCTCAGAGTAGGGCCCATAGGTGGGAACACTGCCTATTCCCAGCAGAAAACAGCTTTAGAAAATGAGACCTTGGGGCCTCCCCGGTGGCGCAGCGGTTGAGCGCTGGGTTGCGAAGCTGCCCGCGCCCGAGGCGCCGGTTCGATCCCCGGCTGCTCCCCAGCCACCGGAGGAGGGTCCCACATGGCGCGCAGACCTCTCCTGCAGCCCGCTGCTCCCCTCAGCAGTGTACTTCATTCAGTCCTTCTGCCTGCTCTGCTCCCCGCTCTGGCTCTGGTGAATTCTCTCACCCTCCCGCGCTTCTGACTGTACCCAGTGCATGTATAAACAAAAACAAACAAACAAAACAAATAAATAAATAAAGCATGCCTCTATTAAAAAAAAAAAGAAAATGAGACCTAGCCCCTCAACACCCCCAAAAGATTCTTGAGGAGGGAATGTTAGAGACAGAAAAAGTTTCTCACATGTTCCCCAAGAGGAACACAGATGCATTTCCGCAATCCCACAAATCAGATGAGGCTATTGCTTTGTTTCAAGGACCAGATAAGGTCTGGCAGGTATGGGAGACCTAGGAAAATTGTGAACTACAGTGTCCTCCCAGTCAAAAAGGGAGGAGGAGGGGTAGTTCCAATTTGTCCGGAATCAGGAGTGATGGAAACAAGATATGCATAATTAAGAGGAGACCTTCCCACCCAGAATGAAAAAACTTTAAAACCCTGCTGCTTTATTGCTCAGTACAGCTCTCCTGCTTTGAGACTACCCACTGCGTCTTAGAGTGTTCTGTCCCATTGCTTCCTAATTAAAGCTTTGTTGGTATCTTTACTCTGCGTTTAGAGACACCAAGGACCCTCAGGTGTTGAGGTTTTCAACACATGGCCCCTCCTAGAAACCCTGTTGACTTACGCCTTTCTTTGATATTTGGACCCTCCCTTTTAACCTTTTTTTTTTTTCTCCCTTCAGTTTTATCACATTTATAGGCCGTCAAACTACAGCTTCCAGTCATGGAGTACCGAGGCCTAAAGACTGCAGAATACCTGGACCTGGATGCTCTGGCAGCCCATTTTAAACAGGCGCTTTCCGCAACTCAAAACAAGGCATAGTAAGTAAAACTGGCTCCCTAGCCTGAATGCCCAGACACAACTGTTTCATTTTCTCTCACTTTCCCTAGATGACAATGATTTAGGCAGGCCAATGCTACGCATTAGTTCAGCTTCAAGTAGTTACAGGAGCCAGATCTTTGCCCCATTTCCAAAAACTTCTCATTGTCCTCTCTAGAGAGGGAAATGTCGGAGTATCATTTAATGGGATTAAAATTCAACCCCCACTTTGCTCAGCAAAGTGGGGAGTCTTGAATAAAGGGAACCAAGCCAAAAAAACATACCTATGACCAAAAAAGACTAGTGCAAACTCCAAGGAATACAGGTCTAATCCTGACAGGCCACCCCAGAAGATATGGGTGGGAAAATGGGCTCCCTGAGCCCTTGAATAAGCCCATGAAGAGTATAAGAGAGCTTCAAACCCTTTCTCAGTGCAAAACATCCCCATCTTGCCCACTGCTTCTGTCAGCAGTATACTAAATAAATCCCCCTTTCACAATTGCCCTCCATCCTGTCTCTGATGAACTCTTTTACCACTACGCAACCAGCAACTATGGGTCCCCAGCCATTGCTCCCTGAGATATTCCCTTCCTTAGTACTGCTATATAAGTCCCTGCTTCTCCCCAACTTGGGGTGAAGGCCTTTGTGAAAGTAGTCTACCATGTCCTCAGGCTTGGGAACACTTGATTTCCTTCCACCAACTGTTTTCTCCCAAGTTTTGCCTTATGAACAACAATTGGTTAGATCACCCCACCCCACCCCCCCACCCCTCCCCCCGACCAAAAAAAATCCTGTTACTTTATTATTTTAAATATTAACTGATAAGTGTTGCTCATGTATCTTCTCTATGCCATCATTTGTTTGTTTTTTGTATTTAAAGGAACTATTAATCAGCACATCAATGCAACAGACCGATGATGGCTTTCCTACCCTCACATGGGTCACTCAACTGCCCTGTCTCATAGACCAAGTGTTTCCGGCATACTGTGCATAAACATGTAGAGGTGAGGAAGATACCATAAAGTATAAGTAAACTGAAAATATATATGCAGTAAGTTGAGAGAAAGAAAAAGGGAAGCTGAGTGAAGACATGCTCCTTGACAATCAAAACCAAGTGCAAAACGAACCCAAGGAGGTTATCTGCTAAACATTTGAAAAATAAAATTTCAATTAAACAGAGTAGATAATAAAATGTTTCAGCTGGAGAGATTTTTAATAACCTTAGCTTATCAGAACTTCAAATTTTTGAGTAAGAAAAATTTGAGTAAGTTTCAACCAGAGACTCTGTATCTCAAGAAATACGCTAAATGTGGGGTGATACTAAACCCAGGACTTTGATTTCAAAGTTGTAAGTAATATCAGAGGGCAAATGAGAGCACAATGAGAGACCAGAGGGAAAGGACATGTGTTGGAGAACAAGGGGGGGCGGGGGGAGGGGGGTGTGTGTGTGTGTGTGTAAAAAAAGAAGGAAAAATCTGAAATAGTAATTAAATTCTTACCAGGCCTGATGTGTCATCTTCATCACTGTCTCCATCCTGACCGCTTTCCACATCAGCACTGGAAATCACTGTATCTGAGGGTTGCTTTTGGCTTTCAGTATGAACATCTATGGATGACTTTTGCGGAATGGATTCTGCCTTGGGAGATGTGGCTTCCATTCTCGGAATTAAAATCCTTCCACAGGTTTTCTTAATTGCAGTCTTCTTACGCCTCTTGCACACCACTTCATAGTTAGAATTCTTATCTAATGGGGCTTTGAGGTTCTTAAATTGGTCTAGCTTGTAATTACTGAGTGAAAAGGGGACAAGACACACCTTAGCGGTTTTCCCTAAAACTGTAGTCTGAACTGGACTCAGAGATACACGAGAGACGTTTTGGTTTTCCTTACATTCATTCACCTATTCCGGTCAATAAAGGAAAATACAGTATTAGAATCCCAGGTCCTCTGCCTTTTCTTAACAAATCTGTGTAAATAAATCTCATTTCTACTTCGTAGTGACTAAACAAGCCCAAGCTGACAGACTGAAAGGGAATGTCTTCTTTCCCCTCCAAAATGCAGATAGATGCCTAATTCATTACCAAGAAGAATTATCACTACTCTGGCATACTTCCGGCCCACAGAAGTTTGCCCCGCGATACTAATAACTATCAGGGGAAACTCATCACACAGCCCCAGCCGCTGGGCTGGTGACTGACTGACTGGCGCTGCCGGAATCGCGGCCTGGCGACACCCACCCGGGCAAAGGCCACTGAGGAGCCCCCGACCCCTCTCTGGGGATCACTATTTCTGGGATTATTAATAAGAACCTACCACAACGGCGAACGGCTAGTTCCCACTGAGGAAAATCAGGGCGGAACCTACACTTAACTTCTGAAGCAACACCCGGGAAACCCCATTAAACCGAGAAACGGCCCAGGAGTCGGGAAAGTGGTTTTGGGGTGCGGGAGGGGCCGAGCTCCCCGGCGCCCTCCGAGCCCGCGTCCGGCGTGTCCCCCACCCGGAGGGAGACCGGGGCCCACCGAACGCCCCAAGCCGTTTCTCACCTGCACCTGGACTTGCTGTCCGACGTCCGCTTGCTCCTCAGCCGCCGCGCGCGACCCGGACATCTCGCCGCTCGGCAGCAGCCGGCGTCTTCCCGCCAAACTCGCGCAGGGCGGCCGGGGGCGGGGCGGGGGCGGGGCCAGGACGGCGCGAGCCGGCAGCTGGGCGGGGGAGCACGCGGCGTCAGCGGGCGCCTCTTAAAGGGGCAGGCTCCCCGCCTCGCCGCCCGCTCAAAGTTTGCAGGTATTCTACGGGCAAGTAGGCGTTTTCCCCTGCAAGTTTGCTACTAGCGTAGATTACACTACGCATTTTTTTTTTTAAGGATGCGCTAGAACAAGTCGACATTTTTACTTTGGATCTCTGTGATTTTAATGCTGCTGTGCTAATAATATCTCGCTTTGAAAAACCTGGCGCTTCCGTACTTGGGTTTTTCCAGTCTTGCCCAATTCCTTTCTAATTTCATTGGTTCTCCCAAGCCTCCCAGCCCAGGCTCCATTTTAGAACACAGGTGAAATCATTTGAGGGTTAATCCAATTAACAGCAGCTTCAAGAGCCTCTTTGATCCCGTACCTGCCGAACTTTAATCAATCCTTGACTCAAAAATTACCGCTAACATCAAACTTCAGAGTGTCTAATATGAACTGTGCTATTTCTGGGCCCCAACACATTGCTCTCCTGTCCCTCCTCTTCCCCAACACAGCAATTATAAAATTCTATTTACAGTGAAATATGTTCTCACTTCAATTGGCCAACTTTTTTTTAACACAACCCAGCTAGTAATAGAGGTTGCTTCTATTATGATTCTGTACTTTCGTGAAGACTTCCAAAATAAAATTCAAACTTCTTCAGGTCACTGGCCTTTTAACAATATTCCATATGCCTTACAGAGAACCAAACATGCTAGATAACAACATGCACTTAATAGTTTATTATAGACTTATATACAAACACTTTCCATTCAGGAATGTTTTGATAGGCAGTCTCCAGAAACTGAAATAACTCAAAAGCCTAAATAAGAGTAGGGATTTCAGACATTGTCCCAGACACCTGGGGGTCATTGGTTTGTTTTTGCCATTGGTTTAAATCAATACCACCTGCCCTTGTATAACCAAAAGATTTGCCCTACAACCTACTCAACCTCATCAATTGAGTTAATAAGATACCATTAGCGAGATTTCTATTCCCATTAAACTCAAACTCTGCAGAAAAATCAAATACAACATCTTCCATGAAGAACTTGTTTTCTGATCCCAGCAGAAATGTTGAATCTTTTTGGAGGTCTCTCAACCATTTCATGTAACACCAATGCATGCAGGAATTTATGGACAAGCAGCTGCCAGGCATAACAAGGATTGGAAACACAAATTAGAAATTAAGATTCTAGGGCCTCCCTAGTGGCGCTAGGGGTTAAGACGCAACATATGAAGCAATCCACTGCCACTGCAGCACGAGTTGGACCCCCCGCCAGGGAGCTACCCACATGGCACAGTAGACCTCCCCACTGTGTCTCTGCTGCTCCCCTCAGCAGTGTATTTCAGTCAATCTGCCTATTCTGTTCCCCACTCTATCTCTGGTGAATCCTCCCAGCCCCCGCAACTCTGGCTTGTACCCCAGCTCTTGTATGCATAAATAACTAAATCTTTTTAAAAAAAGAAAAAGAAATTAAGATTCTAGGCATTGGTAGAGGTGCAGGTGAAATTGATTTTCAAATTTTCTACAAAGTGCAGGCTCAATACCCAGGTGTTCATATCAACAATGATGTTGAATCAAGAATTGAACGAACTGCCAAATGTAAAGAGTTTGTAGCCAAGACATCAAAGGTTGAGAATGTCATAAACATCACCTGGCATAAGAAAACCATCTGACTATCAAAACAGAGTGATAGACAAAAAGGAACTTTGGAGGTGGGATTTTACTCATATGGTTCAGACGCTGTTTCATGTAAAAGGCACCCTAAATACCCTGAAATTCTTCCATAGTCTCTTAGCTAAGACCCTCATTATTCTTGTATCAGGAACAAGATGGTGGCTGAAACAAGCTATGACAAAAGTATGAATTGTGCTTATCCCTGGATGACCTCTGCCAGTATGTCAGTCACATCACCTGACTTCACTCAGATGCTGAACAAATTAGGGATAAATATGACTGTTTTGACCTGTTCACTATGAACATAAATGACTATTTTATTGATGGCAATGAAAATAGAGACTGGCTTCAGGATTTTTTTAAAATTCAATTTTTATTTATTTATGCATACTAGAAATGGAGTATAGGCCAGAGGGGCGGGGGTGGGGGGGTGTGTGTGAAAGGATTCACCAGAGATAGAATGGGAAGCAGAACAGGTGGATCTACTGAAATACACTGTTTTTGTTTGTTTGTTTGTTTGTTTGTTTGTTTGTTTTGTGGGACCCTTGCCGCGACCGGGGAACCAACAGGCACTGCAGAGGCTGCGGGCAGCCTCACAGTCCAGCGCTCAACCGTTGTGCCACCAGGGGAGGCCCTGAAATACACTGTGGAGCGGATAAGCGGGTGAGACAGGAGAGGTCTGTTTGCACCAGGTAGGTTAGCTCCCTGGCAGGGGATGGAACTCCTGTTGCAGAGGCTGGCACTAGCTTGATAGTGCTGCAACTTAACCCCTTGCGCAAAGGCCCTGCTTCAGGATTTTTGACATAATCCTCAGCTTTACCGCAGCAGCACCACCTGATCCCAAAAGAGAAAATTATAAAGATCTACAAGAGCCAAAATTCAGTATAAGGGAAAAGGGGTAGGTTCTTTTTAATAAGTCTGAGTTTCACAGTGTTGGAAGTATAAATATCAATCCATGAATATATTCAAAAATGTATGTTGGGGGGCCTCCCTGATGGCACAAGGGGTTAAGTCGCAGCACTATTTCGATCCCTGGCCAGGAAGCTACCCACGTGGCGCAGCAGACCTCTCCTGACTCCCCGGCCGCTCCCCTCAGCAGTGTATTTCAGTCATTCTGCCTGTTCTGTCCCCTGCTCTGTCTCTGGTGAATCCTCTCACTGCCCACACCTCTGGCCTGTACCCCAGTTCTTGGATGTATAAATAAATCTTTTTTAAAATGTATGTTGAACAATACTGATCATTTATTAAAATTACAACTATATCTCATAACAAGTAAAGCACTGCCTTTTACATGTGAAATTTAGAAAATTCTCAGATGCCCTTGGACTACCATATAGAATCTTATGTGATCCTGCTGGTCTTACCCCACCCCTTCTCTAGGTAGAGATCACTAGAGATCACCAGCTAAGCTGGACAAATGAAGTGACTAGTTTGACCAGCTGCCTGACAAAATCCCTTCCATTTATCAACTGCTGAAATCTCCTAGAATAAAGCATCACTGTGGCTTCCTCAAATACTCAACTATATAATTATCGATGTTGAAAAATAAAACACTCATCCTGAACTTTCAACAGTCTGTACAAATAGTCCCTCTCCTCAGCTATTTCTCGCTATCCTATTTCCCTAGGCTTCAAGCCAAGCTAACCAGGGTACCTTCAATTCCTCGCCTGAACGACCGAACCCAAACGAAGCAACTTCCCGCCTGAGGCGGTTTCCAACCACTGCGAGGTCGAAGGCTATAGGACGGCCCGTGAGCATGCGCAGTAACGCGAACTCGGTGTTCTCGCGGAAGGTACCGAGACGTCCTCCACGATCCCACAATGCTCTGCCCGCCTATATCCGGTTTCTCTAGCTCCTCTGTAAGTGGTGTTTGTATCCGTCGCGCACCAGTATCCTGTGGCCCTAGGTGGAGGGCAGCTTTCTTCTTTTCGTTGACGTTGTCGCTGTTCACTTGTTGAAATTAGTCAAGTTCGGGAGTCACTTCGTCAGCCGTGAAGATGTCGGTCCCGAGCGCACTCATGAAGCAACCGCCCATTCAGTCGACGGCTGGGGCCGTCCCGGTTCGCAATGAAAAAGGTAACTGTGCTGAGCCGTTTCCACTTCGATCTTAGCACCGCTTTCCCTGGCAGACTCCAGACCCTTCCCGGGTAGACCACGCAGCCCCGCCGAGCCTTCAGACCCTCCCCCCTATTTCCTAGACCTTCACTGTCAAACTTTCACCCGGTAGCGTTGCCTAGGGAGGAAAACCCCATTGTAGCCTGTCTGCCCTCATAGCCTTAAGCATCTCTCTTCCCTGGGCCTCCGTCAGTTCCTAAGATTAATATATTAAGGGAATGTTTCTGTTATAGGGCAGCCCCGATATTGAGGGCGTCGTGTGGGATACAGCTCACTTTGTTATCCCCAGCACTGTTTATGCTACTTTTATAATTCATCACTAGTTATTTGCCTCCTAGACCATAAGCTTGTAACCTCTTGGAAGCAAGAACCGTGTTTTATAAAGCTTTTTATCCCATTCAACCTTCGCTGTGACTGTATTTATTAAGTTGAATGCAGAGATGTGCAAGACAGTGCCCCTAATATTAAGAAGCTTGGAGTCTAATAGATATGAAACGTGCAAAAAGAGGCATATCTAAGCAGCGAACGGTTTTTCACACGTATCATATAGGTGTCATACGTGTCATATAGGTGATATAAGGCAAGCACTGTAGGAGGACAGAGAAGAAATAATCTCTTCAGATTTCGGCAATCAAAGAAAGCTTAAGCTGAGGAAGATGGCATTTAGATCCTAGAGGATGGATAGGAATTCAATGATTGCAGATAGAAGGAGGAGCACCCTACCTGTTGGAAGAGTTGGACTAAACAGTTTTTCAGGAATAATTTTGGACAATATCAGTTGTTTTTGTTTTTTAAATATACTGTACCTTTTGTCATGCAATTCTCCCCTTTCCCAATTCATCATGACGTCTGAGAATTATACTTTGGATACATAGAGATTTAATTCACTCCTTTTAACTTCTGACTTCCACTGTATAATTAAACCACAGTTTATTTCCTAGTGAGGGTCAGTTGTTTTTCTCCTACACAAGCATTGTTTCCTGGTGATCTAGTGGCCAGGATTCTATTACACAGAGTACTGCCATTGTCATCCTTAAATGTCTCTCTAATTCATTTGATTAAGAAATTCTGTAGACTCTCAGAAGTTCATCATCTTAACTACCTGTTACAATCACTCTCCACTGCACACTGTAGGATCATTAGAGTTTTAATTTCCCCACATATCCACTTAATTATATCAGATATTTACATGTTTTGCCCAATTTAATGGTATGAAACTATCTCATTTTAATTTGCATTTCCTTGACTACTAGTAAGAAAAGGCATTTTATTCATGTTTTTATTAGCTCTTAAGGTTTCCTCGTGTATAAATTTAACCATTTTTTGGTGTGTTTTTATACATTTCAAAACTATAGTATCCAATTCTCCATTGTCTGTTTTTTTGACTTTTAACGTTAATTATGGAGTCTTCTATTACACATTTTAGTGGTATCAGATTTATCAGTTTTATCTTTTGTGGTTTGTGCTGTTTTATTAAAAAATCACTCTAGTGCAGATCACGGATATGTAAATTATAAAGATTTTCTATTACTTAAATGTTTGTATATACTAAATAGGATTAAATATATAATTATGCAAGACAGATTCTAAGTTAAGGTTCTTAGACTTCATTAGGGATGTAAATGGTTAAAATATGCTTTTCAAGCTTGACTCTTCAATCTAGCTGGAATTTTCTGTGTGTACTGTGTGAATTAGAGATGAAATTTTACTATTTACCTTCTGATTAACCAATTGCCCTTAATACTTCTGTCCAGTTACCAGTGATTTTTTTCATAGGTCTGTCTGCTCTCTATTCTGGTCCATTGGTCTCTGTATACCTACTGAATAATGAGATAGTCTTTTAATTAATAAAAATTTAAATAAGAATCTAATATAACCCCCCAATTTTATTTTTTTAATTAAATTCTTCTCCCAACAGTTATAGGTTCACAGCAAAATTGAAAAGAAGGTACAGATTCCCTTACATCTCCTAACCCCACACCATCATAGCCTCCCGATTATCCCATACCCTACCAGAGAGAGATATTTGTTATAAGTGATGATCCACATTTTGTCTTTTATTTTTCTCATTGCCCTAACTAGAGCCATAATAAAATGTTGACTAGAGGTATAATAGTGATAAAATAAGGATGCCCATTGTTTTTTTGTAGAGAATGCTTCTAGTGTTCTATCTTGAAATATGTTTGCTGTATGTTTTATAATGGTTTTGTGACTTTAAATATATAAACTTTTCTTTTTTCTCCCATTGATTTTCTAAGATTAAGTCATCCTTGTAGTCCTTAGCTGAAGACTATTAGATGATGACAGCTTAGAATTTGACATTACTTTTGCATCTATGTTGTTAAGTGGACTATGCCTAAAGTTTTCCTTTGAACTGTACAGTTTGGTTATCAAGGTTGTACTCATTTTATAAAATTTGTTTTCCTATTTTTTCTATTCACTGAAGTGGTTGGTATTTGTAAAAGAGGTTTGATAACATATAAACTAAAAGGGGGTAGAAAGAGGCAAGATTAAGTTAGATGGTAATGTTACAAAGGCTGCTATGGAAAATCCTAGAGGAACTAAAAGAATGACTGAACAGCATCTTCATTTATGTTCCTATGTAAGTCACCTTACGGTGTTCTGGGCACTGTTTCAAATATTCACTTAAGGGTATAGTTGAGGTGATTAGCATGAATTTGTGATGGATAGTGGATGGTGTTTTGGGGCACTTTTTTTTATGTCTGCTCCCCTTCCTTCTATTTCATCTTACCCAAGCTAGACCTCATTATCTTTAGTGTTGTTATTCACAGGAATGCTTTTCCATGACTTGACTTGACTTTTGTAAGAAAACATCATTTGATGAATAGATGGCTCTCCTCTGATTGGATTCTTTTGTTTTTTTTTCAATTCATGATTCAGTAATGGATGTGGATTTTTTTAAATTATAAAAGGGCCTTCCCAAAGAAAAAGTCTTTTTAAATTTTTATTGAAGATTGGTTTAAAATATATAGATTTCAAGTGTACAACATCTGTATATGTACTCTATTATGATTGCTACCAAAAGTCTAGTTTTCATCTACCACCATAGTTCATCCCCTTTAACCCAATATACCCATCCCTTTTCCTCTCTTTTAAGCTAAGAGTTTGTTTTGTTTTGTTTATTTTTTTCCCATTTCTTTATCTTCCACATGTGAATAAAATCATATGGTATTTGTCTGACTTATTTCATTTAGCGTAATTCCTTCTAGGTCAACCATGATGTCATAAATGACAACATTTCATCGTTTTTAGAGCTAAGTAGTATTCTTCTCTCTGTCTCTGTTTCTGTGTGTGCATAGTGTTATCCATGCATCCATTGATGGGCACTTAGGTTGTTTCCATATCTTGGCTATTGAAAAAATGCTTCGGTGATCATGGGCTGCACATATTTCTTCAAATTAGCGTTTTCATGCTGTTTGTACTCTTGTTTACCAGAAATACAGGCTCTACCTGTAAAGGCCAAGGATTGAAGGAAGGAGATGCTACTGAAACAATGTTACCTTTCTTACCTAGGTGAGATTTCCATGGAGAAAGTGAAGGTAAAACGTTATGTGTCGGGAAAGAGGCCAGACTATGCTCCGATGGAATCCTCAGATGAGGAGGATGAAGAATTTCAGTTCATTAAGAAAGCCAAAGAACAAGAAGCAGAACCTGAGGAACAGGAGGAGGATTCATCTAGCGACCCTCGACTGCGGCGTTTGCAGAACCGTATTAGTGAAGATGTGGAAGAGAGGTAAAGACTAAGCTGGTCCTGAACCCCATGTTATTAATAAGGACAATATACTGATAGTTATTTCCTAAACAGTACTTACTCTGTTTCTGCCATGGTTCCAAATTTTACTAATTCTTGTAATCCACACAATAACCTTATGAGGTAGAACTACTGCCCCCATTTTACAGATGAAGAAACTGAGGCACAAAAGGATTAGGAAAATGTTAGGACCAAAATTGCACAACCAGTAAGTGGCAGCCAGTAAACAGCAAATTGCAACTGGCTCATAGGCCTAATTAACTCATTAGAGGAATATTAAACACAGATTGTTGGTTGGCTTATTTAGCAGAATCTTTTTAGCACAAAGATATTTTATAAAATTTGAGAAGTCAATTTATTCTATTCATTTATTCTAAAGCCTAATGAGAAGAAGTGCACTAAATGTAGTAGGGAAAAGGCCTAATGAATGGACTCGTGTAGACTGGGAATCTAACAATGAGAGATTTTGTGTGTTGTGTTGAGGCATTACCTTAAAGAGTAAGCCAGAGGGCTCAAACTTGCACAGTTCATATTGTCTCAGAAATTTTTTCACATAACTCCTTGGCCCAAACAATTCTGTTTATTTTGTTAAGTAGCTAGATCTAAATCATTTTGTAAGTATTTATGTCCTGACAGCTTACCCATTTGAAAAATGTACATAAAAGGAAAATTTTTTTATTTTATTCTTATCTACAAAAGTTACTTACTAGTAGGATTTGTGTGCCTCTTGGACACTGACAACTTTTCAAACCTTGGAATCTGATTGGTACTATAGCTCTCCTTTCCATTTCCATACTGATTTTCATGAAGTACATGGTTTTTATCGCAGCCACCAAAAAGTGTTTCACAAAGATATTGTCATTGCAAGGAAACAGTGTCATGCTATATTGAAACTGTAAACTACCCTGAGCTATTAAATATATCCCAGTGCACCTGAGTTTATTGCATTGACCCATGATGCCTCAGCATACATTAAAGGTTTTAGTTCCAACTTGACTATTTGCTGTGATAGCCTTAGTTTCTTTAATCTGCACTTCAGTTTCCCTATCTCATGACTTCAGTATTTAATAAAAGCAAACATAATATCAGGGTGCTCTATTACTAAGGGAGTGTGGTTGATGCTTCTTCAATTTCGTGACCTTGGGTGTTAACACTTGGAGATACTCTTTTGCAGATTGGCTCGACATCGGAAAATAGTGGAGCCTGAAGTGGTAGGAGAAAGTGATTCAGAAGTAGAAGGAGATGCTTGGCGCATGGAACGAGAAGACAGTAGTGAAGAAGAGGAGGAAGAAATTGATGATGAGGTATACTAAAGGAGAATGGGAAGTTCTTTCTGGGCACAAGAAAAAGTTGGGGCCTGTACTCCTTTGTTGAGGTCTCAAAGGCAGAAGATGGTCGCTTTTGGCAGAGCTCTGATCCAAATGTTCCCTGTTTGTTGGGGATAGAATTCAAAGTAGAATGGTCTAAATTGCATTTCCCCATATCAGAATTTGTGGCCCTTGATGCGGGGAAAAGTAAAAGTCCATCTTAGAGCAAGGTAACTTGGCTAATTAACTTGGATATGCAATTTGATAGGAAATAGAGCGGCGCCGTGGCATGATGCGTCAGCGAGCACAGGAAAGAAAAAATGAAGAAATGGAAGTCATGGAGGTAGAAGATGAGGGACATTCTGGGGAGGAGTCAGAATCAGAGTCTGAGTATGAAGAGTACACCGACAGTGAAGATGAGATGGAGCCTCGCCTTAAGCCAGTCTTCATTAGAAAGTAAGTATTCGGGGCCTCCCTGGTGGCACAAAGGGTTAAGTCTCGGCACTATCAAGCTACCGCCAGCCACTGCAACATGAGTTCCATCCCTGGCCGTGGAGCTAACCCTCATGGTGCAGCAGATCTCTCCTGTCTCGCCCACTGCTCCCCACTCTGTCTCTGTTGAATCCTCTCACCCACCCTACCCTCTGCACCTCTGGCCTACACCCCAGCTCTTGTATGCATAAATAAATAAAATAAATCTTAAAAAAAAAAGATATGGGCCTCCCCTGGCGGCGCAGCGGTTAAGCACTGGGCTGTGAAGCTGCCCGCAGCCTCTGCAGCGCCTGTTTGATCCCCGGCCGCCGGCAAGGGTTCCACATGGTGCAACAGACCTCTCCTGCTGCGCCCGCTGCTCCCCTCAGCAGTGTACTTCGTCACTCTGCCTGCTCTACTCTCCACTCTGGCTCTGGTGAATTCTCTCACCTCCCCCGCTTCTGACTGTACCCAGTGCTGGTATAAATAAATAAATCTTTAAAAAAAAAAAAAAAAAGAATAAAAATAAGTATTCACAAGCCAGGCCTGAATTTATAAAGTTAGTATTTTCCAGGTCTGAAGATACAAGTTAGTATTTTCCAGGTCTGCCATTCTGAAACATAACATTAAGTCTTCTGCCCAGTGCCCTGACTTTGCAGAACATTTTTTGAGGAATATCCTGGTGTTAGCAGAGACTGAATTTGTTTTCACATCCCCTTTTCCAGTTAAGGAGAACATGTCTGCCCAAGGTCTTAAATTATTTTAAGCATAAAATTAAGCTTGAAAAGCAATTTACAATCCAGATTTCTTGCTATCCAGACAGTTCTCAAAGATGAATGGAATTTCAATTTTCTGAAAATCTAAGAGACTCCCATTTTTGGCTCTTTGCAAACAATAAAGCCAAAGATTGTTTGGCTTGGTCTGATTTGGAGAAGACTAGATTATGGGAATGAAAAGCTCTACTCTAAGGGCTTTGGGCAATTAACATTGTCTCGCTGCTGCAGGAAGGACCGAGTAACAGTTCAAGAACGTGAGGCTGAAGCACTGAAACAGAAGGAGCTAGAGCAGGAGGCAAAACGTATGGCTGAGGAGAGACGCAAGTATACACTGAAGGTATTGGGGAGAGGCTGAAGACTGAGTGCAATGATCACCTACTTAGGGTTGACTGATGAAAATACGGAAGTCAATGGTTGAATTATTCTCCTTATCCAGATTGTCGAAGAAGAGACCAAGAAAGAGCTGGAGGAAAACAAACGGTCCCTGGCTGCATTAGATGCACTGAATACCGATGATGAAAATGACGAGGAGGAGTATGAGGCTTGGAAGGTTCGAGAGCTGAAAAGAATCAAGAGGGACAGAGAAGATCGAGAAGCGTGAGTAATAAGTTGGGCTTAGAGTTAGTACCACTAATGGTTAGTTTCCTAGTAGAGTAGCCCTGAGACTCAGCACTTTGAGTTCTATTTTAGTTTTCTTTAGGGTTCCTGCAACTGAATGAGTTTCCCAAAATTGGAATATTGGGAAATAAAGAATATATTGTGGCTTATAACAACAAAATACCTTATTGGTGTTTCTCCATGGTAAAGTGCCAACTAACATTTCCTTCAGTTTCCTGTTAAACACATAAAAGTTACTCACTGTTATCAGTTATCTATTGTAGCCTAACAACCCAACCCAAAATTAAATGACTTGAATCAATTGATTATTTCTCAGTTTTGGAGATCCACTAAACAGTTCTTCTTGAGGGTTTCACCTGGGCTGTCTTATGCAGTTGCATCTAGTAGTTGACTAAACTGTTCAAAATGGCTTCACTCACATATCTGGTCATTTTGCTATCAGCTAGGATGCCTCACAACTTTCGTAAGCGTAGAGTTGCTCCTTACATAATAGTCTCAGAACAGCATTCCCAGAGGGCAAAGTTGGAAGTTGTTGAGGTCTTTGAGGCTCACATTTTATTTCTGCAAAGAAGCATGCATAATGGAAGACATGCATTGTGACATTTAAATAATCTACCATACCACTATGTTTGAGCAAAATCATTTCTGATCTGTATCAACCAGTCCTTAAAATTACTAGGAATAAGACAGCAGTCCTCAATTACAAAGTGAACATCAGGAGGAAACTCTGTCCTATTGTATGGTGAAGCATACAATGGCGATGGGACTGTTATATGCAGGAAATTGCGTCTTTTTGAAACTGTAACAATACTAACAGTTTTGTCCTCTGGACAGGCTTGAGAAAGAGAAAGCTGAAATTGAGCGCATGCGAAATCTGACTGAGGAAGAAAGGCGAGCTGAGCTTCGGGCAAATGGCAAAGTCATTACAAACAAAGCTGTTAAGGGCAAATATAAGTTCTTACAGAAATATTATCATCGGGGTGCCTTCTTCATGGTAAGATGTGAAAATGGAATGGGAAATTTTGGGTAGTAGTAGTAACTCAGAAGCTTTGAATTCTTTTTTCCCCCGAAGAATAGACTGGTTCTGTGATGTTAATTTCACTTGCCAGTGTTCACTTGCCAGTATTGTTTGCTATTCCCTCTGAAGAATATAAATCCAAAGGGAGAAAAGCATTGACAGTGGGACTTTAGAAATAACAGCAACTGCTCTCTGTTTTGGCCCCAATTCTCAGAAAGAGCAAATGTGATAGAGTTGAAGAACTGAAAGAGTGATCTATATAGTTATTAGCCTAATTATGTCCCCAAATCACTTCAATATCATTCATAGCCAAGTCAAAATTTTTGGTTCTATGAAAACAGAGTTTTCCAGGCACTCAAATATAGATGGCAGCAGTTTAATTCACTTCATTCTGAGCTTACAGAAAGTAATGAATCTTAACTAATCGAAAGACTAGTTAATTGTCTAACCATATATGTAATGCCATCATCTTGTTCTTTATAAAGAGCAAGGTCAAAATAGCAGTATGTTAACCTTGTGTAAAGTAATGAAGATTTCTTCTAAATTATTTGGCTTAACACTAGTGATAATTCCTTACTATAGGGATAGCAGGAAAAGGAATAGGAGAATTGATTGCAGTTTATTCTACTAGCATGTGGTTAGATTATTTCCTGTTAAAGGAGCTTGTATCAAAAACTAGTTTTTTCAAATGCTGCTTATCAACTCCTAAATGTCCCCACTCAGCTAATTCCACTACGGGTACTAATAAAATTAAAAATCTCAGTGGAGGATTCCTTTTTCCTCTCCATATTGTTTCAGTCTGATGAACAGGAAAGGTTTGCTTATTAGTTTTCCAGTCCATGTAATTTTCTAGATTAGAGCCAGTGGCGATAAAGAATTACATCAAAGTCATCAAGTACAATGCTTAAGTATTTCAGCAGCTATAATAACTAGACTTCTTAGATAAGCAGTGATTGCTGGTTAAGATAAATACGGCAAGATTTATGTGAAATTTGATATCTGAATTGATATTCAGATATCAAATCTTCTCATGTGGACAAGGAGAGTGAAGTAGAAATGGCTTCCCAGATTCAGTGAAGGAGTCTTAGACTAGAACAAGGAGAAAATTAGCTTTTACAAGGACTGTTTAATTGTCCTGACTGTAAACTGGGCCTTTCTGTAGCTGAAGGGAAAAGAATATTTTTTTAAAAATGTGTTTGGTTAAAGAACTCAGCTTTTCTGTGAAAACTCAGTTTTCCTTAACCAAGAAGTGCTGTTTTAGTTCTTTTAGCATATATTTCTAATCTGTATCATAACATTGTGGCTTTATAAATACATTGATTTGGAACTATTTCCTAGTTATTTTACTAATAACCTTTCAAGCATTTACTCTGTAAAAGTCATTACCATTTAGGACTGCTAGATGACATGTAATCCAGGCTTTCAAAAAGCTTACAATATGAAAATGAAACCAAGGCAAATATGTAACTTCAGAAGAGTAAAAGTACTGTGGAACACATGAAGAGGGAGATATAATTGGTAGACTATCGAAAAGAATGACATAAAGGAAGGTAACATTTAAGAAGTATAGGACTTTCTGATACTCAGTGGTAAAAGACATTGTGGGTAAAGGACCAGGAGTGGAGGCAGAAAGTATCATCTGTAAAGGGAAGTAGCAAGGAGAGGTAAATTAAGGTCTACAGTATTTGAGTTCTACTATTCAGAGAAGTTAGGAAAGAGAACCACTGACAGTTTTAAGTTTTGTCTTATAAACTTCAATCCTGTGGCAGTGTGTAAGATTGAGGGGAAAAACTAACAACTCAAGTGTTTAGGATGTATAAGATAACAACTAAATGACAATGCATGGATTTCAAGTTTTGAATCTAGGTGATTGATAAGTTAACCCTATTAAATCAGGCATCTCTGCTGCCTGCCTGTGACCATGCAGGTGCCTCTTTTTCCCCCTCTTTTTCCTAATAAACCTATCCTTTAAAAGTTAAAAAAAAAAAAAGCCTATTAAATTAGGAAAAGACTGATTTGGAAAGGTGAAAATGAGGGGGGAGGGAAGCGTGAACAAAAAAAATTTCAGGACTGGAGATGCCTATGTGGAGTTGAAATCATATGAGTAAAAGAACATACTGCATGCAGAGAATATAACCAATTTTCAGAAAATGTCTCTTTAGGAAGGAGAAAAACAACACAAAAGAAAAAGGATTATCAACTAGATATAAGTTCTTAAAGATAAGGTCTCTATTCTCAGCTTTCTCTGTAACCCTTATAGTCTAGGTTAATAAATTTGTGGTTTGAATATATGGGAAATAAAGCCACAAGACTGATTTAAGATTCTTCTACAGGATGAGGATGAAGAAGTTTACAAAAGAGATTTCAGCGCGCCTACCCTGGAGGATCATTTTAATAAAACCATTCTTCCAAAAGTCATGCAGGTATGAGGACATTAATAACATGGGAAAGAAAAATGCAGTGTATTAAGGGCTGAGATGTGATTTATAGTCTGTGTAGTGCCAGCAAGGCACAGAGCAGGATCTTTATGATCCAGGCAAACGGGCAAACGGGAGTCCTGGAGCCCTCGGTGGCTTTTCAGGCTTTTATTGAACTTTTTGCACCATTTGTAGTGCAGCACCCAGATACACGGCAGGGGGCGGGTGGGGGGCAGGGGGGCCAGGAGGCTAGCAGGCCTCCCAGCCCTGGCAAGTCTTCACTCTTTCTGGGCTCCCGAGCATTCTCTCTCAGGCTCTATTCTCTGCTACCTCTGCTTCTGCTGCCGCTGCCGTTTCTTGTTCTGCTACTCTCATTTTGTTGTTCTTGTTCTGCTGGCATCTTCGTGATGCTGCCCTTATAAGCTGTCTCAGCCCTGGTGTGCCCACCTATGCATGCCCACACCCTACTCCAAGTGCCTGTCATCAGGCATGACTGTAGGACCCACAGGGGCCTATCATTAATGCTAAGGGCTGGAGGGCAAAGAAGCCTGATAATTTTCACTCACCCTACATCTGTCATTTTCTTAGGTCAAGAACTTTGGGCGTTCTGGTCGTACCAAATACACCCACCTCGTGGATCAAGACACCACTTCCTTTGACTCAGCATGGGGCCAGGAGAGTGCACAGAACACAAAGTTCTTTAAACAGAAGGCAGCTGGAGTACGAGATGTATTTGAACGGCCATCTGCCAAGAAGAGGAAAACTACTTAAAAGTTCAACTACTTATTATTTCAGCTGTGGGACACATGGGGAGACCTCAGCATCTGATCCTTGATTTGTTTTTACCGTTATTTACATGGCCCTGTATCCATCCTGTTGGACCTACTGCCATATTTGTGACACTGGGTACCCAGTCTTTGAATGTGCTTTGTGAGGTTTGGACTCATGCTGAGAAACCCACAGAAAAGCACTGTCCAGGTAGGATTAGAGGATCTCCACTTAAAACTATTTCCAAGAAATCTCAAGTTTGATCATTTCTCTGGCTTCCCAAATTAACTTGGGACTATTCAAGTTTCTTTTTCCAACCCCTTAGCTTGGGTGAGAAACATGGGCAATAAGTGGACAGTATATTATTGTTACCTTACTGGAATTCTAAACTCATTGAAACCTGTTTTACATTTTTGGTGGGAGTCAATTTTTCTAAGTAAACATACTTTTTGACCCATTTGTATGTCAAGAAATGAACACACCAAGAAGTTTTTAGCATGACACTGGAAGTCATGCTGACAAGCATCAACCTGTTAACTAAATAAAAGACAGCAGAAACTGTAAGATGGCAGGTATTTCACATTTTGATCATCTTGATCTCAAACAAACTTAGATGCTAGACAGGCTGTATTCTAAGTAGCAGCCAGATTTATTCCATGAGCAAATATGTCTGTCTAGTTGTCCTTACTTTCTAAACTCTAGTTGTATATGGGAAAATTGACCCACAAAAGGGACACTCTAAGTACCTACTAGTTTTTTTCCCAACTCACATATCAAAGAGCGTGCTCTCCGTGTTGCAGTGTAGTAGCATCATGCTATTGTTAAATTCAGTTATTTTCCATATACTATTTACTGTGTGACTACCAGGCACATGGTAAGACCACCAGGAGTTCTAGGGGTTATAAGGAGTAACAGCCAATAGGAAAATTATTTCTATATAAAAATGAGGTCACCTTTTCACTTCCTTTAAATGCCCCATTGGGAAAATCATTCATAAACCCTTATGTATCCTAGAATAAAAATACCAACTCCAATAAGCCTTTAAGGTAATGAACACATAAAGGTGAACATAACTCATTGCTGTGTGTGCCAGAGGGGGGATACGATCTAAGAATTAGAGCCAAAATGAGGATAAACTCTTAATATAATTTTGAAAGTTGTCATGAGTATCCACTCAGAGGAAAGTACTAGACAAGTGTTTTATATTCATTTCATGAATTCTTTTTTTTTTAAATAGAGGCATGTTTTATTTATTTGTTTGTTTGTTTTGTTTATACATGCACTGGGTACAGTCAGAAGCGCGGGAGGGTGAGAGAATTCACCAGAGCCAGAGCGGAGAGCAGAGCAGGCAGAAGGACCAAAGTACACTGCTGAGGGGAGCAGCGGGCGGCAGGAGAGGTCTGTGCGCCATGTGGGACCCTCCTCCGGTGGCTGGGGAGCAGCCAGGGATCAAACCGGGGCCGCAGAGGCTGTGGGCAGCTTTGCAACCCAGCGCTCAACCGCTGCGCCACGGGGGAGGCCCTGAATTCTTTTTTTTTAAAGATTTATTAATGCATACAAGAACTGATGTAGGCCAGTGGTGGGGGGGGGGAGGGTGAGAAGATTCACCAGAGATGGGAGCAGAACAGACAGATATACTGAAATACACTGCTAAGGGGCAAGACAGGAGAGGTCTGCTGTGTGCCATGTGGTTTAGCTCCCAAGCTGGGATGGAAGTCATGTTGCAGTGGTGGATGACAGCTTGATAGTGGCACCAGAGGCCCAGTTCATCAATTCTTACCACAACTTAATCAGGTATGTCATTTTACAGCTGAAAAGATAAACTCAGCAAAGGTTATGTGGCTAAATTTGGTCAACTTGTAAAGCTGTATTCTCTCTGGGATAGGAAATGAAAGGTATACATGTGGTTCAGAATTCAATATTAATTTCATAAATCAAGATCTTTCATAGGTTAATACTATAGAAGACCTAACCTTTACAAGACCTAGCCTTTGGTATCTTCCATTGTTCTATGTTCCCACCTCTAATACCTAAATTCTGACTCAAAGTTGACTTATGAACGGGCTTGATGACTTAAATTTATAGTAGCTCCTAGGCAGGCACTGGCCTTTCAGCAATTCATAAACTACCACAGTGACATGTTGCAGGGCATACTAACTGCCAAGACTCCAAATGTACCTGACTGTTATCTAGTCTGATGAATAAGCCTGGCCAAATACCTAGCACCTTCATGAGGTGCTCTTGTACACGACCCTTCACTAAGGGTTTGAGGGGGAGGGTCACTTAAATTCAGTTATACTCCAAAGCGTAAATTTCCCACAAAATACAATACACAGTGCACTGATCCAAGATGATGAAACTTCACAAAAAAGTACAGCGCTTTATTGAAATAAGTTAATCCAGTGCGAACGTTTGAGCATAAATCAGTTGGTTAGGGCGATAAGAGCCTCTACCACATTGCCCATGTGTTCCCTCAGGCTCCGTTCTGCTGCCGCTCTTGAGATCTCCATCTCTGTCATCTGTAGGAAAAGAATCAAGGATGCTACTACCTAAGTCTTCTCCCAGGTAGTAATGTGTCACCAAAATATACTCTACTTATTTCAGGGAACAACCCAAATTAAGCAAAGTAACCCCCTCTGCCTCATACATTAGATGTTACTACTCACTATTAGCTCCAGATCTTCCTTCTTGATCGTGACTTTTGCCAGTTCCTTCTCCCTGCAAATATTTATTTACATTAGTCCTCATTCTCTACTTTCACCATAAACTCCAGAAAGAATTAGTCCCAGCTGTGCCTGAGAAATTAAAGGCTTTTAACAAGCATAGTTAAGTGAAAATACAAAATGATTCCCCACACTCCTGCACCTAACTTCCCGTTCCTTCTCCTGAAGTCTAAGCATCAGGCAGGTGTTGTCAGAAGGCCTTTCCTTTCACCATTAAGAAAGTAAAATTAGATCTGCAGTCGTTGGTGATAAAACTGAACTGTACAAAGGCTTAACGATGTCTTATTTTGGCTGAGAGGAGGAGGACTAGTAGGGCCGGCTGAGGAACTTACCGCTCCTGTTTGGCTTTCTGCTCCCGGGACCGCCTATCTCCAATCACGGACATAGCCTATGTGAAAGAAAGATCTAGTTACTACTTTGCTACTCACAACTGCCAATAATCTAAAATGCCAATAGCAAGCGGGAAAGACGGTTATTCATGACGAGGAGCGTACCAGGAACCGCGGCCTAAGTTTAATTCAATTCTGTGCACCTGAGGTCTGCTTTAAAACCAATCTCCACCCAACTCCTTTTTGCAAGCAGTGGGCTCCAGTGACAGCTGCTTCCCCTCGGGCTTTCTCCCGCCACCTGGGTCGGGACCCCATCGGGGAGTGGGGATTCCAGCCACTGCCTCAGAGCCTCTGCCTTTTCTCAGCCCTCCTAGACATGCTCCCCGCCAACCTCACCGTCTCCAGATTGGAACTCTGGATCTCCTTCTCTTCTGCATAGTCGGTGACTCGCTCCAGGTCCGCCGCACCGCTGTCATGCTTCCGTGGCTTCTCGGGAGGCCGCTCCGGGCCGCTGGTCTCGGTTTCCAACTCCAGCTCCACGTCCCCCTCGGTCGCCATATCGATCCAACGCGCCCCAGCACAGGCCCCACCCCACTCGCCAACGGCTACGCAACTTCCGCCCGGAGAGGAGGAGGCGGGACTGACCGCGGGCCACACCTTCATTATGCTCTGATTCTGGAAACTTCAGCGCAGGAAACGGCTGCCTCTCACACTTCCTTTCAGGCATGTGCATTGTTGTTCTGTGCAAGGACCCCCCCCTAGATGCGACCCTCACCCCCAGGCCTTCGCAATCAGCTTCCTTCCCTCCACTTCCACATACCGACCCCTCCCCCACGAGGACTTCTGTTCGACCTGGATGGAGTCTAATCCTAAACCAATTAAGAGTGTTAATCCCCAGGAGGCCAGATGATGAAACAGCTTTCTAATCTGGAGAGCACGCTTGAGTGGCTAGGTGGCTCTGTGGGAAGAGTAGTTTCGCAGGGACATTTGCATTTACCACTTCCTTAGGTCTGATGTACTTTCCCCATTCTGCTAACACTGGGTGACCAGCCCCAGCAGAGCAGCTGCCTAATGGGCTGACAGAAGAAACCTGCTACTTTCTCATCTACCTTCCATCTGGTGAACTTGGGCCTAATCCCTGTGACAAGGATGGTGGGTGCAAAGGTCGTTACAGGCCCCAGCATCTCCTTCCCTTTGGCACAGCAACGCAACAAAGTCAGAAGTGTCACCTTCTATCAGGTGAGAGGGGTACCCCGGCAAGGCCTAACAGCTCCATAGGGCAACAGCTGTCTGAAAACTAAGAAGGGAATGGTGGCCAAAACTGGGAAGGAAAACCCGTCAGAGCCAATAAAGGTGATAGGCCTTTCTTCTGTCCTCCCACGGGTTTCTGCTGCTTAAACTTCTTACATGTCCCCAGTCCCAGTATTAGGTTTAGGGGAAGGTTAGGGGCCAGGAGTAAAGGAGGCTCTCAGGAAGTTCTGTTCAAGCCTGCAGGTAACCTCTTATGATGAAAACTCTACTTTGTTTTAGTGGAAGGCAAGTCAAAATAGCTTCGGACCAGACATTCTGAGAATTTGAGTAAAAGAAGAAAGGGAAGGGGAAATTTTGGAATTCAACCTCATGGGTTCACCTCACCCATACGTTTACGTAAGCCTTTCCTCAACAAATCACCTTGTTGTCCTGCATCTGCTCTACCCTCAGGTGTCCTGCTGCTGCCATTCTAGGTGGCCGCGTCTCACCGAGTCTACTTGTAGCCGCCTGTTCTACATCCTCCTCCACGTGGGGGCCTCAGCAGTGTGTTGCCTCCTGCTATCAAGGACCATAGTGGAAAGGGTCTGGGGCAAGACACATGGGGTAAGTGGGAAGCAGCCAGCTTGCAATGTGGTAAAGATCAAAGGAGAAACCCTGAGATAGAAGAGATTCACATTGGGGCCAGGGGCGTAAGAGCGGACAAACCCATGAAGTAGGTACCTCTGTAAGCATGACGACTTGCCCTACCATTTCTCACACTCCCCTCCAGATCCAGATGCCCTCAGGACTGTGTGCCCATCTGTTTGGTGACTCCCATTGCCCTGTGCTCAGTGGCTCTGGGGCTGTTTACCGAATATGTGCAGGAACTGCAACTTTCCACCTGCTGCAAGCTGTGATGCTGGTCCACCTCCACTCTCCCACCAGCCTGCGGGCACAGCTGCACAATAGGTTTGTGTGTACTCTAGGTGGGGAGAGGACAGGAGAGGGAAATAGGCATAAGCTGAGTAAACAAAATTATGAGATAAATGGCACTATAAAAAGAGAACCGGTTTAAGTCCCTACTTTCACTGTAGTTGTGTGACTGTGAGCCACATACTTATCCTTACTGAGCTTCTGTTTCTAAAATGGAGAGAACATGGGGTTATTACATGCGAACCCTTAATAAAGTGTTAAAACATTGTCCAGGTGTTTGTTAGGTGTCAGAGTTAGACTGGGGATAGATAGCGGTCTTTCCCTTTGTCCTCCCTTCCCTATAGTTTTGCTTTCTTCTTTGTTGTCCTCTATAGGCGCTGTTCATTGTCCTTTGCTTTTCTCCAGAATCTGGTTTTCTCTTTCCCTCCTAACCAGCTTTTGGATCCCCAAGCTGCTGTTCCTGCTAGGTCTCTGTGCTGTTGCCTTCTGCATCCCCGATGAGACTCTCTTCCCAGGTACCTCCCAAATCTCACTCTCATCAGGAGTAAACTAAAAGACTTTAAGATAAAAAGGTACAAAGAGGACCAGAAGGAGAGATGTGACTGCCTACATTTTCCCACTCGTGCCCCACTTGCAGCTTGGCATTACATCGGCGTCTGTGGAGGATTCACATTCATCCTGCTGCAGTTGGTGCTTATCACAGCCTTTGCCCATTCCTGGAACAAAAACTGGTAAGCTGCAAATAACCCTGAAGGCTCCTTCTGGGACAGTTGTCTGATATTACTAGACCCAGTCGGACTGGGTAAAGGACATGACAGTTCAGTGGTCTCATCACTTCCCACTGAGCAGTATCAAAATGCTCAGAAATATGACTGTGAGCCAGACTGGATGGCTAGTCACACCAGTCTTGAAAGGGGAATAGTTGGTAATGGGTAGAGTTGAGGCCCCAAGCCATAGCCTGCCTCCTCCCCGCCCCTCCCCCCCCCAGGCAGACAGGTGCAGCCCATGACTGGCGCTGGTTCCTAGCTGTGCTGTTGGCCACCCTTGGATTCTACGGCATGGCAGTTATGGCAGCTCTGCTCCTGTTCCAACATTACACACACCCAGCTGGCTGCCTGCTCAACAAGATGCTGCTTAGTCTGCACCTTTGCTTCTGTGGCCTCATTTCCTTTCTCTCCATTGCTCCCTGCATCCGCCTCAGTGGGTACATGCCTTGCCACATTTCAGACTTGGGAGCCTTGTAGTATAGCAAATTGCCTTAGCCTCCCCATTCGAAATCCTCTGCCTTCCCCAAGGGGTGGGAAATCCAAAGTGCGGGTAAGAGGAAATGATTACCCTGTAGATTAAAGCAGTGATCCCCATTCTCCCCAGAGCAGCCCCACTCTGGCCTTCTACAAGCCTCTATCATCAGCTGCTATATCATGTATCTGACCTTCTCTGCACTGTCCAGCCGTCCTCCAGAGAGTGGTAAGAATAGGACTTGGACTTCTTGTGCTAAAACCTTTTTACGCTTCTGTGAAATACCTAGCTCTCTGTTCTTACGTCCCTTCTCTTCTGTTGCCCCTTCTCAGTAACCCTTCAAGGACAGAATCATACCGTGTGCCTGCCTGGCCCAAGTAAAAAGGAACCCCAAACACCAGATACTTCTTTGGCAATGCTGAGTGCTGGCATCACATATGCTTGTGTGCTCTTTGCTTGGTGCGTAAAGGTGTCAAGTAAGAGGTGTGAGAAAAGGGAAGATGCCCATGGCATGGAGAGATGATCAGAATGTCTGGGACCATGGTTTATCTAAACTATAGAGCAAGACTAGAGTAAGGAAAGCTCCCCACAGAAACAATTTCTAAGAATAGCACTTGTCAGATGATCTGTATGAGATGAAGGGGGCAGGGTGAATGACTTGAGATTGAAAATAACTTGCAAATACTTTCGGGCCCTCACGTGAAAAGATTTTTAAATCTTTGGGGGGAAAGGGATCTGGAGGTACAGAACCATCCTGTGATTTATCAGTATGGACCAACTAGCAGTAAATGTCCTTGGGCAATACCTCCTGCTATTTCACTGGACCACACTGAGAACTGTCTCTTCTTTCTCAGCAATGAGGCTTCTTACCTGGCTGAGGTATTTGGACCCTTGTGGATAATCAAGGTTTACAGCTATGAGTTCCAGGTGAGAATGGACAGCTCATATCCCGATACCCCTCCCCCCCACACACAGACACACACACATACACATCCTACCAACCTCTACCCAGAATGTTCAGATTCTAACTATTACCTTTTATTGAGTACCCACAATGTGCTAGGCACTGTGCTACTTTACATACACAATCTCATTTAATGTAATCCTCACAACAACCCTGTGAGGTAGGTATTTGCTCCATTTTACAAATGGAGAAACTGAGGCACAGAAGATTAAACATCTTACCAAAGTTCCCATAACCAGTTATATGCTGAAGCTAGAATTTGAACCCAGGTGTGCCTCCACTGTTTACATCGGATTAATCTTTTCAAAGACGACGACTTTCCTGTATTAATACCCTCACATTTTAAAAGTCATTCCAAAACACACTGCTTTTTGTTTTACAGAAACCCTTACTCTTTTTCTGCTGCCCCCAAACAGCTGAGCCAGAAGGTGAGTGTCATGTGAGAATTCATAAGAAAGGATAGATTTGTGTAGAGTGTCAAAGAGCGTTCAAGTACCTTCACAAAAGCTGGGGAAAGGAAGAAGTGTTTAAGCAGCAGAGCTCAAAGCAGCTCTTCCCTTACTCCAGAACAAAGGGCTGGGGTTGCTAGGCCAAATGACCAAGAGACTTCTCCAGCTCCTCCAGTGCAAGCTCAGCATCTGTCCTACAGCTATTCTGCCTTCCACTTCGTCTTCTTCCTTGCATCACTCTACGTCATGGTTACCCTTACCAACTGGTTCAGGTAGGATGGAGGTGAACATAGGACACACTCCTGAAAACCTAGCCCTTTTAGGGGAAGAGCAATTCAAAGCCATTCCTAAGGGTTCTCAGGAGCCACACATGGATCTGCCATAATCTTTGGTGGGGAGGTAGGACAGAACCTAAAAGCCAAGGTCCTGAATATTCTCTAACCAGAGACTTTGGTTTCACAGCTATCAGGGGGCAGAGCTGGAAAAGACCTTCACCATGGGTAACTGGACTACCTTCTGGGTCAAGGTTGCCTCATGCTGGGCCTGTGTACTCCTCTACCTGGGACTGCTACTGACACCACTCTGTTGGTCACCCACCGAGGTCCCCGGGCCTATCTTTAGGCGACATCGAATCGGTATTGCCAGATAACAGATATCCACACCAGGTTCTGTTAGCAACTAGCGCTCCCCTGAGGTTATACCCCTATGTTACACCCCTATGTTACCTCAAGGACAATGGGCTGTTATCCCCCTTTTGGCTGAAGTCATTACTATGTCTGAAATGGAAGAAGTGGCCATACATAATCTAATATCCTGGGCAGACTTTCTGAATCCCTTGAGCTACCATTAAGTTTTCATCCCAGCGCAAGAGCCTTACCCCCAAGTCAGCAGCTCAGGAACCACTGCTGATCACAGCAGACAATGTGGCACCAGCACTTTCCTGGCTTGTGTGGTGGACGTGGGAACAGGGAAAGACCAACAGGGACTGAAAACTTAGTTGGCTCTGCCCTTAGAGGTTAAAGGAAAATAAGCAGTTCAGCTCTGGGCACAGGGATATAAGCCGCCTGGAACCAGGACACGGGAAGAAAGGAGCAGAGCGCCTACCCTAGGTTTCAATCCTTATCTTGAGGCCAAATGAAATGGGAAGACAAAAACCACCCTCATTCCATGAGGAATGACAGAAGAGAATGTAAACGCTTGAGAATAGCTAGCCATGGGAAGTCAGTGAGCAGCAGGATTTTGGGCCAACTTTCAAGCAGGCGAACAAACTGAGGAAGAACAAAGAAGAGGGGCTTAGAGTAGGTTTTGGAGCCCTCCCTCTTAGGCCTTAAAGGTCTAGGTGGCAGACAAAAATCACAAAAAAGAATTCCCTATCCTTAGGGGATCCCTCTACAACATATCCAGAGTTGCTATTTGTCCTAGTATAATAAAGAATTTTTCTGTGATATTCTGTTTAGTCTACATACCCACAACCTTTTAGAATAGCTAAAGATCTCTCACCTTTTGGTGGGAAAGGGCAGCCATTCCTCCATCCCCGCCCCCCCCCCAAGTCCCCAGTCAAACCAGGCGCTCAAGGAATTACAAAGCTACTTTTAATACTTCGGGGTGAGCCCCACAGGAATAAAAAACACTGGGAAGGGGTAGCCCCCCCTCACCCCCAGGAGTTGCCCAGAGGGGGAGAGGCTACCTGAGGGGAAGGAAGCACAAAAGGGACCCACTGCAGACTCGGGGCAAAGGGAATGCCATCGGTGGTGGGGCCTGTGAGCACTACAGGAGGAAAGGCGAGCGTGGTGGGACTGGCTCCAGGCACACAGGCGAAGGGCAAGAGGGTTGGACACGAAGCCACAAAGCTACTTGGGTTCCTCCTTCTTCTCGTTTGCCTTTTTCTGCTTCTGCTGCATGATCTCCGAGTCCCTGGGGGTAGAGATGATGGGGCACTGGGAGGTACCAGAGGGCAAAAAGGACAAGATGCAGGGGGATGAAGGGCACAAAGGATAAGATGGAAGTGGATGGGACAAAGTTCAGCGTGTGGTTGCTGTATTCCCACCCTAGGAGAACAAGAGGAAGAGAGCTGAGACTCAAAAGGCAATCAGTCTCTATCCAGCCGTTGCCCAAGGGGTCAGAAGTCTGGTCACACTGGCCCAAGGCTCTCTATTCTGTGCTGAGTACCACACCCAGCCACGCCAGTGAGAAGGCTGGGAGAAGGGAGGAAAAACAACAGCAAGGAGGGCCAAAAGTTCCGGGCTGTCATAACCACTACTGCACTTGAAATGTGAAGCTCCCTGCCCTTGCCCTTAAGGTCAGGCCCAGGGCGCCCAAAAACCGGACCGTGGGCAGGCACCCTCCCCAGTCCCTTCCTGTAAGATTGAGCTCAATCTGGAGGGCGGGGAGGAAATAAAACCCTAGAGGAAGCAAAGCCCTCTGCCCCTCACAACTAGTCCAGATGCAAGTCCTGAGGTAGCGCTTTCCTGGTACAAACCTAGGTCTAACCCAGGTCTCGTCCCTCCCCTCCCAGCCCACCCCTCCCTGGGGCTACCTCTGCTTGCGGGCGGCAGCAGATAGCCCGTCATCTCGGCGCTTTCCCTTAACGGAGTCGCTCTGCTTTTTCATATTCTTCTGGCGGGCGAGCTCGCGCTGGTTACCGCCTAAAGAAAGACGGTTTAAGGTGAGACACGGGGCCTCCGGCCACACATCCGCGGCCCTCCTCCCTCGCCGAAGGCCAGCAGGGTCCCACACTTCATTCCCGGGGCCCCGACACCGGCCCCTGTGGAGCCCAGGCTGCGGTCCGCGACGGGGAGGGGGGCGGGAGCCGCCACGGGACAGGTCCAACTGGGGGATGGCGAGAGAACGGCCCCGAGGAACCTTCTAGAGGCTTGTTTCGCGCGTGGGGATGGCGTGGGGGCCCAGACAAGAAGTGGTGGTGTCCGTGGAGGATCTGGGTCTCTGTGGGGGATGGGCTGGGATTCGGGACAGGGGTTTCTGGGCCCCCCACGGCGCGCTCGCCCCGCGCCGGGGAGGGCCCCCGCCGGGCCCGGGGAGGGAGGGTCCCCCGAAGTGGCGGCGGGTGAGGAGCCGATTTCCGGCTCCGAGAGTGAGGGTCGCTGAAGAGCGCTCCCAGAGAAAGGCCTCGCCGGGGAAGCGCGAGAAAGTCAGCGCCGGCATCGGCGGCCGAGTTTAGCGTGGCCACAGAGAAAAGGGCAAGAGGAGGGGGTCTCGGTGCTCACGGGTCATGGCGACGGCAGCGGCTCCGGCCTGCCTCCGTTGCGTCCCCTCGTTCAGGCCGACGTTGAAGGCCCCGCCCCTTTCTTGCAGCGTAACGAGGCCGTCCTGGCCGCCCCGCCCCTGCGCGCCCGGGAGCCGGCTCCCATTGGGCAGGGAGAAACACGTGGGGCCGCGGGCGGCGCTCGAACCCGAGCGGAGGAGGGGCGGGGTTCGCCGGTTTAGCGCGCTGCGTGGGGCGGGGCTTCCCGAGAGAGGCTTGGGTCGCCCCGGGAGAAAGTAGGCCGGGTCACGTGGGCAGGGTGGGGGTGGAGGGGTGCGGCTGGCGATGTGGCGCTCGGGCGGGCCGGGTCACGTGACCCGACTGAATGACGTGCGGCCGCTGTTCAGGACGTTTACAAACTCGCCGAAAGGAAGCGCTGGGGGATAGAGGGCGCGGGTGCGCTGGGGCTGTGATGGTTCAGGGCTCTAGTAGTATCAGGACTCTGGGACTGAACTTGGCCCTGGTTATTTAGGACCCCCCCCCCGCCCCGCAACACACACAGCCGAACCACCTATTTGACAGTTGACCTGTTTATATCTCTTAAAATCATGGAATTTCAGAAACTCCCCACCACCATAAACCCGACCAGTATAGAAATTTGCAGCCACACCCGATACGTCCTAAAACTTTGCCATACTCATTTCCGCACGGGAACTTTCAGTGTCAAGGCACTGTAGTTTGCAAGTTTTGGTGGACCCCAAAATCACAGACTACAGAGTTGGATCGCACTGTGAGATTCGGAAATGTACATACCCTGCTCATTTCTCCCTCTGGTGGTTCCCTCCACACCCACATCCCCACTCCCACCACCACCCCCTACACACACACACTCTCTCTCTCTCTTTCTCTCTCTCTCATCAGCCACACCTGGTTATTTGTAAGACATAATTGAATCAGGCCGAAAGCCAACGTTTCGATTAAGTTTATATTTATTCCCTTCTGTCTACAAGACTCCTCACCAGTCCTGAGGAATTCGTTAGGAAAAAGGGAAATGCATAGGAAATATCATAAGAAAGGTTTGGTTGTAAATTTTAACCTCTGGTTCTCTCCATCTTAGTTCCACAGCAGAACCAAATTAAGGCTGAGCTGCAAACTGGCTTCCCCCTCAACATAGAGCAGATAAAAAGGCAACGGAACCTCAGTCAGTACCACCATTTCGAATTTTGCCATACCTAAGTATCACCTGAACTGTTTATTCCTTAAAGTTTTTGGTCCATTCTTAAAGGCTATAACTCAAACTTCATTGTTCCTTTGGTAAATTTAACATCAGTGTCACTTGCCCACAAACAGAAAACAACTATAAAAATAATTACAATTGAAGTGAAATATATTATTAAATCCTACCAAAAATATATTGTCAGAGGTGCTGAACCTGGGGCTTGCACTCTTAAAAAAGAGAAGTAGCAGGTCTCCCTGGTGAGCACAGCGCTGTGAAGCTGTCTGCAGCCTCTGCAGCTCAGGTTCAATTCCCGGCCTCGCCAGGGAGATACCCACATGGGGCAGTAGACCTCTCCTGTCTTGCCCGCTGCTCCCCTCAGCAGTGTTTTTGGTCCTTTGCCTGTTCTGCTCCCTGCTCTGTCTCTGGTGAATTCTCTCACCCTCCCGTGCTTCTGACCTGTACTCCAGTTCCTGTATAAATAAATAAATAGAAAGTAAGGCTTTAGAACAAAAAAGGGAGAGAGAAGTAGCAATTTGATGCATCTACTAAAAGAACGAAGTCCATTCTCAGCAGACTGTGACATTCCAGGAAATATGGACATCTCCCTGAAGAGAGGTACAGTTATTGTGCAGTGCCCCAGGGACACCCTGCAGAGAGACTTCAATCCCATCAATGTCAAACTTAGTCTAATTGGAAAGGAAAAGAAGAGGCTCAGGGTTGACAAATAGTGGGGAAATAGAAAGGAACTGCCTAGTGTTTGCACTATCTGTAGTCACAGATGATGATCAAGGGTGATACACTGGGCTTCAGTTACAAGATGAGGTCTGTGTATGCTCACTTCCCCCTCAATGTTATTAAGAATGGGTCTCTTGTTGAAATCCAAAATTTCTTGGGCAAAAAATAGACTGACAGGATTCTGATGAGGCCAGATGTTACTTGTGTAATATCTTAGGCCTGGGAAGATGAATTAATTCTTGAAGGAAATGATTTTGCACTGGGGGCCTCCTTGGTGGCCTGGGGGTTAAGTCTCAGCACTATCACCTATATGGCCTGAGGCCTGAGTTCTATCCCAGAGCTAGCCCACATATGGCAGAGCAGACCTCTCCTGTCTCCCTGGCTGTTTCCTTTAGCGGTGTATTTCAGTAGATCCAACTGTTCTGCTCCCCACTCTCTCTCTGATTAATCCTCTCACCATCCTTACCTCTGGCCTACACCTCTGTTCTTCTCTGCAAAAAAAAAAAGAACATTGCACTTGTATCAAATTCAGTTGCTTTGACTCAGCAAGCTACAACAGTTAAAAACAAGGATATCAGGAAATTTTTGGATAGTATCTGTGTTTCTGAAAAAGAAACAGTTCAGCAGGCTGATGAATAAGATTTAAATTGTCCAGCTATATAAATAGCAAGATACTGGATGATTCTTCAGACCTATCTGTGATATATTTTTAAGATGCAATAAAAGTTATTATTGGAAAAAAGAGACATAAACAAGTGTTACATTATAAAGCATAAATCTTCCAAACTTTATCTTTCTCTTCCCATAGTCAGATGATTGAAAAGCATTTAATTTTTATACTTCCAATTTTATTTAATGATGTTTCTCTATACTAACAAATTACTGTACCAGGAGCACATAGCCCTAAATGTAATAGTTCAGCCTTGGTGGCACACATAACGATGTACAAATCCTGACTCTGGTATTAACTGCATTTGATTTTGTACACTTATTTTTCTTTGCTTCTATTCCTTAATATGTTGTGGAAAAGATTAATAAAGATTACTGGATTGAAAGGAGTCGGCCCATCATAAGCATCCAGTTAATGTCTCCTTGATCTCCCTTCTTCAAGTCCTAAAACTTCTCTTCTTCAACTTCTTCTAACTCCCCTGCATTAGCTAGTATCTGAGATGGCCCTTAATGATCCCTCCCTTTTGGTATTCACATCCTTATGTAATTCTGTCCAACATGGAATCAGGGAGAGAACACAGAACCAGCCCCATGGAAAAAAAACAAACTATCCAGTGATAAGTGAAATCATGTAGGATAAAGAAGCAAA